CCTCAAGGCCAACATAGGTTAAACTTAAACTCGCTTGGAAAGGGAGGGTTGAGTGGAGGGGTATTCAGTTGGTTGCAAACCTCAACGCATACTTCCCCTAAATCCTGAGTGCTGGAGCTTTTCTTTTCTTTCTTTTTTTTCGTGATGGGACTTATGTGGAGGTCAGTTTAAAGTGACCTTCCTGAGTTTTTTTTTACTGAATAGGACAAACATCTATTTAAATAACTTGTTCTGGACGTCAGTGTCACAATGTATTGCATCCTTTAAATTAAGAATGGATTGGAGCCTCTTTTTCTAAAGGGCTAGGTACATTTGTATTTCTGGCAACACACACAGGAGCTGCTCTCATTGTAAGCCACCTTCCTCTCCCTACCCACGGATGCTGCTGCTCGCACACATCCCCGTACAGTATCATGATGTTGTCCGTGTGTGGTGAGATCACATTTAACTCACATCACAGGGAAATTACAAAAATTGCTCCTCCCACTCCTCCTTTTGCTCCTTACGCTCCCCTCCTCCCCTTCCTCTTCCCCGGTCCTCGGTAGCAGCAGGTGTTATTCTCTCATAACCTGAAGATTTAGCTGGTAATTAGCATTACCTCTTAGCCCCAGAGAGTTATTCATGCTTCATGGTAACAGCAGGAGACACGACTCGAATGTGTTTCTGGGCACCCGAAGAGAGAAGAAATCACGCCTCAAAAACACGTGGGAGAGATTACTCAAATATGCCTCCTTTGTACCCTCTTTACCCCTCTCGCTGCTGCACGGTTATCGCTCCCCGTTAAGCAATCAGACCCATTACGGTACTCTTTTTTTGTGCATGATGTCTGAGGCTGTACAGCACCACAAATAAGCTTTATACTCTTGGGCTTCATTGTAGCTAGAAGCTTTGACCTTGTGTTATGTTGCCCTTAAGTAGGTATTGTAATTGTCTGAAACAATAACAACACAAGGCAATGCAAACCGGGAAAAATATGCATATGATAAAGTGGCTCTGTCCACAGGTTCACAATTAATCGTTCACGGTGCATTGGAATAAATGCACGATTTGGGCTAAATGATAAGCATCCTCCTAGGAGGCAATTAACTGATGTTACATAATGACAGCCCACACTTTACACTAACACAACCGGTGCATGTCAAAGGAGAAGGCTGTTTTTTTATAAGTAATACATGGTGTGGCAGTACATCCCCACCTCTTCATGCCAGTCAGCTCCAAGAGAAACAACGGGTCAGAAATGAAACACCTTGAAACTGTCAGGGTGCTCTCCGCAAAGAGTGGCATTTCTTGACAGGATCTTACCTTTGCTGTTGTGCTCTTCTCTGTTCAGATACATGGCTGTCACTTCACTCCGAGGCGTTGTCTGAATTATTTGTTGGTACTCCTCTGTATCGTGAACTCCGCTGATGTGGTTTGTAGTAGTAGCTGTTTATTGTTTTGTTGCTCCTCAACAGCCTCTCCTCTCCTCCTAGCGGATAGGTGGGCTGGTCTGAGACTCTCTCTCCCTCTATCTCTCTCTCGCACTCTCCCTCTTTCTCTCTTCTAACCACCGGTTCACTGTGGCTCAGAGGACAAAATGGGAAAAAGTGACTTTTTGCAGCTGCTGTTAAGAAGTAGCATATCTTTTCTCTGCTGCCACTTGTGATTATTGATTTGTTTGTGTATCCATGTGTCCGTTTGTATAGCTGTGCGTGTAATAAGGAGCTCAGTTGGATCCACCCATGGGATTTATACAAAGCTTGCACCCGAGTTGCATGGCTTGATTGGGAATCTCATTAGTGCTGGAAGAAGTATTCGGATTTTAATGAAGCAAAAGTGGAAAAGTACTCAATTACTTGCAGAAGTCCTACACTCAACGCCAGGCTTTACTTGCATCCAACATTAGTATGCATCATGCAGAAATGTTATATATTACATATTCAATATGAATGAGTGTAACAAAGATAATGTAGCCAAAGGGTCAAATAATAATAATTGAATAAATAACAATGAAACTAAAGTGAGAAAAAACATATTAGTGAAATAATTAGAGAAAAAGTTGCAATTCATAAAATCTACAAATAATAATTGAATTACCACAGTTTCTTTCTTATGTGTTTTGTTTATTTATACTTACATTCTTAAAAAATCCCATCATTAAACAGCAGTAGAGTCCTTTATTGTGATTCATTAGCGTTTCAATGTTGTACCTGGTCAACATAAAGCTGATTTTAGTTGCTTTATATCATTGTAACCGATTGCCAGCTATTTTAATAATTGATTAGTGATTTATCAAGAACAAATTAAAAAGCTTAGCTTCTCCTATGAGAGGATTTGTTGTGTTAATTAGCTGTATTTAATTTAAGACGTGTGCTGGATAAAACATTACATTTGTCACATCATAATTCCTCCTAAATTATTATTCTTATGAATGTTTGCTATTTGTCTGTGCCAATTTCTTTCAAAAGGCATCGTACTCATGCAAAGTACTAAAGTAAATGTATTGAGATATTATGCACTTTACCTCCTAAACTACAATGACAAACTAAACAAATAAGCAACAACATCCTGTGACAGTAAACGCTGATATAAGGAGAGACAAACCCACCTGGCCCTGTCACTTCAACCATGCTCAACCTGCTGCTTGTCCATATCCTCATCCCTTCACAAATGGTGGTCAGATGTTCCTGCATCATGAAGCTGTGTGTGAGTTTATTGACCACATTATTAGACCGCAGCCAGAGATTAAGAGCTCTTGAGGAGTAATTGTATGCGTCCTCTGCCAGTTTTTGATGCAAGGTGATGTGGCTGCTATGCAAATGCTTCCTAAATGAGATGCAAAAATTAGATGTAGATTATTCTAACACTCAGTATTCAGGCTGTCTTACATCACACATAGGCAGTAAGTGGTGAGGGAACAATGTGTCTGTGACCTTGACTTAGAAAATAAAATCCAGCAAGGAGGCAATTTAAAACAATTTCTTCAATTATTTTTCCTTCTTGTTCTCAGAGTACATTTCCAATTTGCAATGGGACTTCTTGTTACATGAAGCTGGCAGATGAAGGCATGGGACATTATAAAATAAATGGAATAAGTCATGACAGTTATTACAACTACTGCACAAGTCCAGCATTTAAATGTTTTAAACAGAAGTTGTGTAATCATGCTGTTATGAAATATGGGAAAAACGTACAGTGCATGCACATCAACCAATAACCTCTGACCTGAAATCTCTGCATCGCGCTCTGTGATGTTTTTATTGTACTTCCCAGCCTTTCAGTGTCTCTCACTGCGCCTGAGTAATGAGTAAGTTCTCCATATAAGCCTGAAAAATGGAAAGCTAATATTCCATTCAATCTTGTGGCTCTATGATATCACAGATTACAATTTAAAAGGATATGAATTGAGTCCTACTGTAGATGCAAATGCTGTGTGAGCAATATCGCAAATAACGGTTTGCCTGCGATTTGTCAATAAAGCTGGGAAGGTCATTTTCTCAAAGCATCCCGCAGTGATTTCCATTTGATTATATTTTGTTTTGAGCTGCGCTCAGTGCTATTTGTTCACAATTGAGAATAATTTGCCATTTATGAGGAGAGTTGTCTGACTAATTTGACCATGAGTCTTTTCCCAGATATCCCCCTCCTGTCCTCCCAGCATCCTTGTGCCTGTCACAGATGCATCTGTCTCCACTGGTATCTATAAATACCCCCTTCATACCCTTCAAAAACCTGATTCCCATTGATTTAGTGACCTATATACACATCAACACCATCCCCTCCCTTCCTCCGGCTCTCTGCTCCTTCTATCGATGGCCCTTCACTGTCTCCACCTCTGATTTCCTCTCCATCAATCTCACCCTTTAAACTCAATTTGAGACTAGCTTTTCCTCCACCTTCTCTCCTCCTCTGGCTAGAAAGCATGGAAGACTAATAATAGTTCATCGTGGAAGCTCAAGTCATGACACATGAAAGGGATGAGCATAAGAACAGTGGCTGGTTCTCATTTCTATATTTCAAAGTCTTCTCATTGTGGTAAACTGAGCCTTTTGCTAATCTCTCGAGTGTGTAAACACTGGCGTACAAAGTCTGATGAAAGGAGTCTCAGAGCCACACAATTCAATATGAAATCTGACTCTGGCTGAAATAAGACATGTGAACAATGAAAGAGAGATATAAAATGACAGCTGTGTGTGTGTGTGTGTGTGTGTGTGTGTGTGTGTGTGTGTGTGTGTGTGTGTGTGTGTGTGTGTGTGTGTGTGTGTGTGTGTGTGTGTGTGTGTGTGTGTGTGTGTGTGTGTGTGTGTGTGTGTGTGTGTGTGTGTGTGTGTGTGTGTGTGTGTGTGTGTGTGTGTGTGTGTGTGCATGTAGGGTTATATCTGAAGTTGCTAAGATTTCATTATACTTTAAAATAGCATTCTAGGTAACTAATGCTATAAACAACTATTTTGAATACATGGCAAACAGCGAGGGATTGACAATGAATAACCACCTGTCATGTCATAGCATCACTTCTGCTGAAATGAGCAGGATATATGGGGGGTGTATACATTTCATCCCCCAGTGAAATCCACATAAAGGCACATGTTCTGTTTATCGAGTGAAACCCCACAGACTACAGAGGCACATATGTGAACATCTAAGCTGCAAGAGATAGAAAGTAGCGTGACTGAGTGACATAGGTGTGCGTGATTTACTGCCACACCACCCAGGTTTAGCATACACCTAGTTCACACAGCACTGCTTACACTCCCACCACAGCAGGACTAACAGCTCTTCTGCGACCCCACACTGACACCTGGTGGCTCCACAAGGCAGAACATCAGAAAACAGTTTTAGCTGCTCATACGCCCCGAGGAACCACAGCGTCATCCTGACTCTCTTCAAAACTTTCACACTGCTGTTTGGTTTTCACACTATTACAGATTAAAACGGCAGACTGTTGTATTCTGGTATGTGCTGCACCCTGAAAGCAGATGTGAGTCAAAACTGTAACCCAAAGCACAGACTACAGCAGGCAATTTTAGGACAGTCAGTTTATTGAACAGCAAATTGTGACAGGGAACACAATATTTATTTTTAATTGCATTGTCAACAATGCCTTGGACAAATGCGTCACTCACCAAACATTTCATAAACACCCTCCACAGAGAGAGACATAGTAGATGGAGAATATGGTGAGGGTCCTTCATATTTTAAAGTGCAATAATGCACAATTCCTCTTGGAGGAAGACAACAGAGGCTGAGAGGAGACCCCAGAAGGCCTTCAAGGTCCCCACATGCATCATACATTGTGTTTTGCTTCGTGTATATATATTTGTTTCAAGTGTGTGTTTGTGTGTTGACTCTACTTATTGCATATCAGTCAGCTGGTTCTTGATTTTTTTCCCGGTGAATGTGTAAAGCACAAATCTTTCGATTAAAATGTAATAAACTCTTCACTATAATTATAATACATCTCATAACATCTACAGAGATATATATATATATAGAAGATACATTCTTATATCTGATTCATTTAGAATATGTAGGCGATATACCTTTTGTGAATAACTGCTGATGGGTGACATAGTGGACCATCACATGGGTCTATTATAATGACCGTCGTCTCAGCCCTATAGATCAAGTTTTACAGACATAAATAAACTTTCTTACAAGACTACAAAGTTCATCTCAATCGACATCTCCACTGAAATAAATCAGACTTTAATCCAGGTCTGCAAAGGCAGCAGATCCAAGGACTTTGTCTGAGTGTCTTTAAAGAGGGCCATGTGGTTTCTTGTGCCTAATATTTCTGTGTGCTTTCCTTTGATTGTTTACACTCTTAGTCATACATTTGGTGTTTTAGAGCTCCTCCACATATACCTGCAGCTGTGGATGCAGCGGAGAGTAGATGGCAGAGGAGTGTGAAAGATAGAAGGAAAGAGGGGAGAGAGCATGGGTCTGACAATCAAAGAGAAAAATACCGCAGTGTCACACTAACAACTACACATCAACTACAGCACTACACAGTCAGACACACACACGCACATACAAAACCAAATGCACAAGGTCAGTGAAAATTCACATCTGAGTAAAAGAAAATAACTTGCACATTAACATTGGGCAGTTAGGAGTTGAGGGAGGTTTCAAAATCATAACAATAATCTCATTCTCAACGACACAAAAAATAGGCATGATTACAATATCAGCATTTATGAGATGAACATGTTGAAAAACTACAACAGTAATTTATAAAGACAAGCTCACATGAGAGGCAGGTCTTTTTGCCGTTTTCCTGTGGATCAGCTGTCATCTGTAAACACGGCTGGAGGCGCCAGTCCATGTCTAACAGATCTGATGTCCCTCCCTGACCTATGGCTTTCAGTAAAGACATTGATAATGCTAGCTAGCATGTGACAGCCTTGGTCGTTGGTGCCATCAATGTCATATTGCAGCTACCGTGTGGAAAAAGCACCATTCACAGATGTTAGATTTACAGTCCTTTGTCAGCAGTTCCCTATTTCCCTTTCAGAACGGTTTAATTAATGCCAGAGGTCATTCACTTAAAACTAACTAAATTTCTATCAACCTTATATGATGCTCCGTTTGGTCCTAGTTGATAAAACTGTAGGAAACTAGACAATCGGTCAAAACACTTATCAATGTGCTGCATTAATGTTGAAATGACGCTTGTTGCATTAAAACATTTTCCTTCATTTGATATGTCCACATCGTCATAAAATAAAATCACCACAATACGGATTGAGGGGGGAATTGGAGAGGGTGTGCAAATAAGCCATCATGTACAAAACAAACAACACATCCTGAAACATAGAGTTCATATCATCTGAATATGTACAATAAAGATAAGGTGGACACTTTGACACAGAAAAAACAACACATACAAATATATAGTGCTATACTGCCTATCGAAAGGAATATTGATAAGCATATCTCACTCCCACAAATGATAATACCTTGTAAAGTTGCATCCCGTTTCTACAGTGCAGTTGATGAGCTGCTTAAACAGTGGGAGTGAGAAAGGAATGTGATTGGATAATTCACATCAAAGTCACCTTGATCTCCGGAGGGATAAACCAATGGCAGGGCTTCAGTGTTGTGATGCATATACAAGATAGGACAGGGCTGCTTCCCATGGCAGCTTAAAGCAAATAAAAACCTCTGAAGCAAATAAGTCGAGATGTTTGGTCAAAATCATAAAACACTGAAAACACATTGGTTTAATTTTCTGATAAATGAACGTTATTCATTAGATCTTTGGGTCCTGACACTGAATTCAAAGAATGTGAATTAAATGTGATGTAATCATCTGTAAACAATATTAATTATGTCTGGCTCTAAGGGGTTTGAACTGCTCTTACTGTAGTAACTGGCTCCACAATGGACGACTGTACTCGGCATGTGATGTCTGACCGTTTGTCAGCATAATTACTAAATGGCCACTAATAATCTGGATATTATTCTACTAAAATGACTCAACCCATTCAGTGTTCACAGCTTTCATTTGAGCCCAACATGAATCACAAAAAACAGCTGTCGCTCAGTTCTCTGTGGACTGAAATCTTAAAAGCGCACAGCAATTTGGCCACAATCCAATCAGTGATATCACAGGAGGTGATTTGTCATCATCCCTCGAAGGCAAAGCCCCCGCTGTGACTTCACTTGTTGAGGTGTGGCAACAAATACAACATGCTGCCTTGACAGTTGACCCATGTAAATAACCATATAGGCAGTTTTTTAACAATATGTACGTGCAGGTTAGTAGTGCATAAAGCCCAAACGCTGTACACTGAGCCTTCAGTCTATGGTTAGACTACAAAACAGGAGATATCTTTTTCACAGAGGCAAAACAGTCAAACCATTGTGGTAGCACTAAATATCAGATGGAACCTGATCTACTTAAAAAGCCAAGGCTATCAAAGCCTGCTCAGAGCTGAATGGCTGAGTTCATTATAACCACTTACAGGAAGGGATGTGGTTCCTCAGGAAAGATCATAGGGGCTGTGCTGGCATCACATCAACGCATTCCCTGGGTCTTTGCCTGAAACAGAGGCCTTTATTTTTCTCGAATTCTATATATATTATTTTTTTAAGACATAAGGTCAGGGGAAATCTTTGAATATTATTTGGTAAATTTGTTGTAATTCTAATGTTTTCAGATATATTTCCAAGTAAAGTACGTGCACTCAAATTAGCTAGGTATGTTCTAGCATTTTCAATGGTTCCCTATTGTTTCTCTACAGACTAGCGCTGTTTTAAATGAGTTGGTGTTGGGCTTGCAGACCTGCAGCAACCTAGGGCAGTACATTGACTATGAAAATTCGACAATCAGTTTAAAAAATGCAATAAAATGCAGTTATTAAAGCAATATTCCATTAAAACCTTAACTGATATGTGTGGCTTCATTTCCAGAGAGCTAGCTTAGCATGCCTACTGGATTTGTGTGTGCCACCACAGGCAGCTTGGCAAACAAAGGCTCCCTCCTTAAACTACTTAGACATTCAAAATAACACATTTAAAACAACATGTACTGATCGGTCATACTTCAACCGATTGAACATTTCTTTCAGAATGAGATGAACCCACACAAAGTTGGCGTGATGCATTGTGGGAGGGAAAGGCAGAAAGAAGGTGCTTCTTATTTGTCTCTTTTAGGCAAATAGCTGAGGATAATTTCACCCACACCCAGGAAGTAGATCACCTGGGCGATGCCAAACAGCGGTGCAATGACCAAGGCTCGACAGTAGGCTCCCTTCAGGAAGGCTGATGAACCCTCATTTTTCCAGATTTTCCTGGAGATCAAATAAAAAGCTCATTAATACATGTGAAACTAGGAGTGGGCATTACATCAAATCAAATTCTGATCAAATAGCTAAATATTGATTTTGGATTGTTATCTTTGGTTGCCTCTACAAAATATATACACGATGAGATATTAGATATATATGATATTAAATAACATCCCTTTAATGTAATATCTAGGCTAATTTTAGGATATCTAAATAATATTGACATTGCCCAGCACTATGCAAAACAGTGAACTCTGAACCAGTGTGTATGATATTGATGGTGTTTTTTCTCTATTTTATATATTTTTTATTTGTGTTTCCTAATAATTTATCAGATTACTGTTTGTTGGTTCTGCTGTTTGTTTTTATAGATTCTCTGTAAAGTGTGGTGAGACACTCTTACAAATACACACAGCGCCACACCTGCTGCAACAGAAGAGACATAATGAGGTCACCTGATACAGTCAATCACTCCACTGTACGTGTCTTCCGTGCTCCCTCGGTTCAGCGACTGCAGTCTAGTCTTTATCACTGCAACACACAGAGCGCAGGTAAATATATAACATCAGCTGACGGATCACACACTGCTTAACATCGCACACAGTCCCACTGCTCACCATCGACAGGGTTGACAACAACAGCCGCTGTGCTCCCTGCAAGGCAGCCTGATATAAACGACACGTAGAAAGGAGCCGGTCCTTCTTTGCCTTGTTTTCCCAGGTCGTTCAGGTTGGCAAAAAGCGGGAAATAGATCATGGAGAAAGGAACATCCCTAGAAAACGATAAATAGAGACACACGATCAGAGCAAGTCATGTGAAGTTCCTTGCAGTCGGTTGGTGAAGCTAGAAGACAGATGTTACCTGAGCAGTGTGGCACCGAGGCCCTTATACAGACCAGCAATGCCCTTTTCCCTAAATAATTCTCTGGTGAGCTGTATGGCTGTTGGGGATTTGGTCTCCAGAGTACCTGCTGCCACCGTCTCTGGCATCAGCTTCCTTTGAGCCTCTGTGGAGCATGAAAACCATAACATTAATAACAGCAACAGCTTTATATAAAGCTACTAGAATCATACAATGCTAAGAATAGGTTTGTGGGCAGACATTTTGAATTCATAGCAGCAAGAAGAAATCAGAATATGGCTGTTGTAATATCTGACATGACCACAAGAGGCCACTATGTTCTAGTTTATTCCCTACACTTCATTCCTGCTTTAATTTCCATCTGGATTCAATTTATTTTTACCAATTCGTCCAGCATCTTGGAGTTGGATTTTCAGCATCTCCATAGGAGTTGTGACAATAACCTGCAACAAAACAAATAAAGGTACAGTGTCAAAATACGTACACATGATTGGTCAGTATTGGTGTCTAAGGCAAAACATGTGTCCATTGTCAATCTGCTGACATCCTTTCACTATGTGTCCACTCTTGTTTTCCTCTGTAATCCACACAGTGGTAACTAACTAACTGGATTAAGGATGAGATGGCTGTGCTCTCAGTGCAATCTTAATCCAAGGTCTTCTGCACTTAATCTAATCACGTTCCTATGGTTTGAAGCCTTTGCCCTCATTGACAAGAGGCATTTCCCTCTGACTCACTCACTCAAGCACATGGCCAAGTACTCTCACAGCATTTGATCTGATCACTCAAATCTAGCTGCCAGTGTATCGCCTGCTAACAGGACAGCATTTCAGTGATTAGAAATCATTCATGAAAACGGACCGTTACAGCTCACATTCAGGTCACAGATAACCGTCATATCTACAGAGACAAACTGCGAGCTAGCTCCTGCGACTAACTCCTCTCCTCCAAATGTGGTCCTTGTTAATTGAAGCTGCAGGCAGAGATAAATGAGGTGATGACTGAAGCCCAGTGGTGTATTTGAGAATTGACATTGGCAGGCCTAAAGGCAGCAGTTCCAGGTGGAGAACAGGAGGATGCAATTAAAGCAGCACCTCACTCACTCACCTGGCATGTCCCCGCTCCGCACCCAGCCAGCATCTCCTTGACCAGAGTGAGTTTTCTGAAAGAAAGACGATAAATAGAAAGATCAGATTAAAGCAAGACTGACAGTGTGAGAGCCAGACAACTTTATTTCCCTGAATAATAAATTGTCACCACCTGCACCGGTGATGCTAATCTTAGTCTTCTATATCAACATGTCAGGCACAAGGGCAGATTAATAATTCACAAGGAGAGCCGCTGGGCCAGACAAGTCAATCATTCATCAGCTTGCATGTTAGTCGCCATAGCGATGGAGATAGAGGCCCCAGAAACCTTCAGGTTTATCTTTGCAAACAGGGCTCCCGGGGGACAATGGGTGGGTGATTGATTTCAGCAACACCAGAAGATGGTTGCTAATGTGATACCATTATATGCTCATTGTACTTGGTAACATGATTTCAGACAGGGCTTCTGCTGACACACGCACAAATTATTCTGTAATTTTAAACCAGACAGTTAACAAACCGTTTTAAAACGCTGGGTGTTCGGGAAGGATACGACAGAACAATAGAGGATTAACCGGAGCCTCGGTGAGAATACTGACAGCTAATGTGTCAGATTACATGTTAGTAAACAAGCTAGTTAATCAGTGCGAATGAGCGGAGTGGTTGTGTGTCAGTCCGCCTGTCAGTACTTTCATGCCTCACCCATCCTTGGAGAGATGTTGCCTGAAGAAGTCGTTGGCAGCCAATTTGATGGCTTTCTCTGGCGTAACTAATGTTAAATTCACCGCCGCTCCTGGGAGAGACAAAGGGCCAGAGAGCAAGAAAGAGGGAGACACAAAGAAGGAAAAGAGAAGTGAGAGAGAGAATCTGAGATAATTGCTAGTACGATATGTGAGACGCAGATCCATGTGTTTGATGTCTGTGGCCTCACGATGAAGCTGAAAACAATCGAAACCATATTCTACCTCACATGCTAGCCTTGTACACTCCAGTCTACACATAAATCACAAGAATCTAAAAATACCTACAGAAGTGCACTCAGTAAAGTGCAGAGCTCCCTCTCCTCTCCTCGCTCCCTCATCGTGAAGGTGATTCATCTCACATATGGCCTACATTTAGTGGATCATTACATATCGGGTATTAATCTGCAGATGCCTCAGTTTAATGATGTCAGTCTTTTTTAGCAATGATTAAGGCCTAACCAAGTTTCTTCAATTTCGAGGTATGTAATCTAAAATGTGTAATCACTGTAACCACAACAAGTCTGTGAGCATACAGGGATTAATGAGCACATTACATATTTGGCTATTGGGTCTAGTAGTTTTCCAGATTAACGGTGGAAGATATACAGACACACAAACAAAGATCATCAGGACACCGAAAACGTACCACGGTACATCCCAAAATACCCCTCTGATCGGATGGTCTTAATAAGGCAATCTGACCTGAAATACAAACATGTGGTGTGTTAGTTACGGAGAAATCTGTTTGGTGACATGCTGATTAATCCTGACTATAGATCAGCAACAATGAGGAATATACAAAAATCTCATACAGGCTGGTGTAAAGGCGAGATCCATTTTGCTGGTTTTGCAAGCGAGTCTTGGCCAGGTCAATGGGAAACACACAGGTCACTCCAATTAGGCCAGCGATCCCCCCATTGATCAATTTGGCAGGCAAACTGGAGAAGAGACAAAAAGATGAGGTATGAAAGGTCAAGAGATGAAAACAAGGCATCAGTGCTGCTGTATTTGTATTAGCTCCACATTTCACCTCACCTGATCTGCTTGTCAGCCATTTATCTGAAGCCCTGTCTGGTCAAAGTGTCAATCTGTCTGTTAGCTGGTCCCACGGTGGTCCGTTTGTTACAGTAGTGTGTTGCTGTCCGAGTGGGATTAGGTAGTCTGATTATGCTTGGTCCACTTGTGTTGCTTGTAGTTGTTGTTAGTTCACGTTAGGGGATACCTGTAAAGAAATAGCAGGTTACATCTGTGAAGGTAAACTTCTGTTGTTGCAATGTTGAGGTAGAATGAAGGAGTCTGGAACCGTTGTTAGCCAAAAGCACCGAGAGTTTATTGATCACAGTACATTAATTACATACGGCCGGGGAGATCACTTAGTTGCACACCGTCCCGTGTTTCACCAGCGTGATCTCTGCCCCAAAAGACACAAAACATCTAACCAACACGAGGAGAGGCGGGCTTCCAGAAAGCCCGCGTATAATCAATAGCCGATGCGAGACAATGGTCTGCTTGTCTCAAAGAGATGCTGCCAGGTCTCAAACCCCCCACGGATATAGGAGAAGCGTTTGACCTGTGACCTCAACCTACAGAGGAGTCTTTGAGTGACTACAAGCAGATGTTTGCAGTATCACAGACTCTAAGGAATAATAAGAGACTCTATAAACAGATCAGATTAAAATATTCTCTTACAACATCAAACATCCTCAAAAAGTAGCTGTTGCAACCAAAAAGAGGATCGATACATTACAAAAGTTTTAATAACGCAATGTTACCTTCACAAACATTATGACAAAGAAGTGCTTTAGTAACAGGCTGTTTCACCACCTGAGATACTCTGCAAAAACTAGTGTTAATGCACAAAACACATTTGTTGTAGCCGCAACTCATGATTGTTTTCATTATCAACCTTTGTTTTTTACATTACATTACATTACATTACATTGCATTTAGCTGACGCTTTTGTCCAAAGCGACTTACAATAAGTACATTCGACCAGGAAGACACAACCTTGAAGAAAACAGAATCATATAAGTATATCAGGTTTCATAGAGCCAAACATTTCAAGTGCTACTCAACTGGCTTTAGGTAATCCAGTCCTTTATTGGTATAAAAGTGCTTCGTTAATCGTTCTAACGCTCGAAGTGGAGTCGAAAGAGATGAGTTTTCAGTTTGCGCCGGAAGATGTGCAAGCTATCTGCCGTCCTGATGTCAATGGGGAGCTCATTCCACCATCTTGGAGCCAGGATAGCAAACCCACGTGTTTTCGCCGATGGGAACTTGGGTCCCCCTCGCAGCGAGGGCGCAACGAGTCGTTTGGCTGATGCAGAGCGTAGTGCACGCGCTGGGGTGTACGGTTTAACCATGTCCTGGATGTAGGAAGGGCCAGATCCATTCGCAGCACGGTAAGCAAGTACCAGTGTCTTGAAGTGGATTCTAGCAGTTACCGGAAGCCAGTGAAGGGAGCGGAGGAGCGGAGTGGTGTGGGAGAATTTAGGAAGGTTGAAGACCAGACGAGCCGCTGCATTCTGGATGAGCTGCAGAGGTCGGATGGCACATGCAGGTAGACCAGCCAGGAGGGAGTTGCAGTAGTCTAGGCGTGAGATGACGAGAGCCTGGACCAGAACCTGAGTCGCTTTCTGAGTCAGCTGGGGACGTATCTTCCTGATGTTGTAAAGCGTGTATCTGCAGCAACGGGTTGTAGCAGCGATGTTTGCAGTGAAGGACAGGTTGTTATCTAGGGTCACACCCAGATTCCTTGCAGTCTGAGTCGGGGAAACAACTGAGGTGCCGATGTTGATTGTCAGGTCAAGAGTTGGACAATCTTTTCCCGGGAGGAAGAGCAGCTCAGTCTTGTCAAGGTTGAGCTTGAGGTGGTGAGCAGACATCCACTGAGAGATGTCAGCTAGACAAGCAGAGATGCGTGCGACGACCTGGGTCTCTGAGCGGGGAAAGGACAGAATTAATTGGGTGTCGTCAGCGTAGCAGTGGTAAGAAAAACCATGCGGGCTAATGACTGATCCGAGCGAGTTTGTGTACAAGGAGAAGAGGAGGGGACCAAGAACAGAGCCCTGAGGGACCCCCGTAGTTAATTGACAAGGGTCGGACTCAGACCCTCTCCAAGTCACCCTGTAGGTACGGTCTTTCAGGTATGAGGTGAGGAGGGAAAGTGCAGAGCCAGAAACTCCAAGTTTTTGGAGAGTGCGAAGGAGGATCTGATGATTCACCGTGTCGAATGCAGCAGACAGGTCCAACAGGATGATGACAGAGGAGAGGGATGCAGTTTTGGCAGTGTGCAGTTCCTCCGTGACAGCAATGAGAGCAGTTTCTGTGGAGTGACCTGCCTTGAAACCAGACTGGTGCGGATCCAGAAGGTTGTTCTGATTGAGATAACAGGAGAGTTGTTTAAAGACAGCGCGTTCAAGTGATTTAGACAGGAACGGGAGGAGAGAGACAGGCCTGTAGTTTATAACATCAGACGGGTTGAGAGTGGGTTTCTTTAGGAGAGGGTTTACTCTTGCCTCCTTGAGACTGTTTGGAAAGTGACCAGAAGTTAGAGAAGTGTTGATGAAATGGGTGAGAAACGGTAGAATATCAGGAGCGATAGTCTGAAGGAGGTTTGAAGGGATAGGGTCCAGAGGACAGGTGGTAGGGCGGGCAGAGGTAATGAGGGTAAGAACCTCACTTGGAGAGAGAGGGGAAAAGGAGGTTAGTGTGTTGGTGGAAGGAAGGTCTGGTGACCCAGTGGTGAGTAAAGGTGAGTCAGAAAAAGAAGAGCGAATATCATTAACCTTTTTTCAAAGTGGGTAACAAAGTCGCTTGACAGAAGTGAGGAGGGGGGAGGAGCTTTTGGAGGGTCCAAGAGGGTGGAGAAGATGGAAAATAGTTTTTTAGGATTGGAATAGGAAGATTGGATCTTATCTTGAAAGAAAGTGCTTTTTGCCTGAGAGATCGAAGCAGAGAAAGAGGAGAGGAGAGCTTGATAGGTTAGGAGGTCGTCACGGTGTTTGGATTTCCACCATTTCCGCTCTGCTGCCCTAAGGACGGTTCTATTAGCACGCAGTGCATCATTTAGCCAGGGAGCCGGAGGGGACTGACGAGCCTGCCGAGATGTCAGAGGACAGAGCGAGTCCAGAGTGGATGAGAGAGTAGAGAGGAGAGTTTCTGCAGCAGAGTTTGGAGGCAGTAGTTGGAACGAATCAGAGGAAGGGAGGGCTGAGAGCACCGACGAGGCAAAGGTAGAGGGAGAGAGGGAGCGAAGGTTACGGCGGACAAGTGTAGGATGGGAAGAGATTAGTTTGTTATGTTTGGAAAGGGATAGAGAGAATGAAATGAAGAAGTGATCGGATGTGTGGAGCGGGTTTACAGAGAGGTTAGAAGTAGCGCAGTTCCTTGAGAATATGAGATCAAGGACATTGCCAGCTTTATGAGTCGGTGGGGACGGAGAGAGTGAGAAAGCAAAGGCGGTTAACAGAGATGTTAGTTCGTCTATCTTCCCCATCTGGAGGTTGAAGTCTCCGAGAAGTACAGCGGGAGGGCCAGTTTCAGGGATGTGTGAGAGGAGATGATCTAATTCCTCCAAGAAGTCCCCCAAGGCGCCTGGTGGACGGTAGAGAACAACAATGGTTAACTGTATAGGATGGGTTACTGTGACGGCATGGAACTCAAAGGTGGAAGGAGTAAAGTTAGGTAGCTTGAAGAGGGAAAAGCTCCATTTGGGAGAGAGCAGGAGACCAGTGCCACCTCCTCTGCCAGTGGGTCTGGGTGTATGGGAGAAGGAATATGCAGTGGAGAGAGCTGCTGGGGTGGATGTGTTGGATGGAGTAATCCAGGTCTCAGTGAGAGCAAGGAAATCCAGAGACTGCAGGGAGGTGTAGCCAGAGATGAAGTCAGCCTTAGGAACAGCTGACTGGCAGTTCCACAGGCCACCTGAAACTAGATGATGGATCTCAGTGGAGCACGTGGGATAGACGAGAGCAGGCCGGTTATATCGATTAGGAGATACACGGGGCCAGTGATAATTGCGAGAAGACACATGAACAGGAATGGAGAAAATACACATGATTATAGCATGAGGGGCTAAACAACAAAAGTAAAAATTAAAAACGCCAACGATACTTAGCTCAATCAAAGTAGGATTTGCCTCCTCTTTGCCTCCCTCGTGACTCCCGTAGGACTCTAATGTCTTTGTCAGTCTTACTCCCACAGGACTCTAATGTCTTTGTCAGTCTTAGCCTGTCTGCCGCTGAAGCTGCCGCTCCAGGAAAGAGCTACCCGAAATGGAAGCCTGATTGCTCAGTTCTCACAGCTGAAGTTAATTAGTTAACTATCTACAGCTGATGGGCGACAATAGACTGGCCCTGCCTATGTTAATAATGCAGGCTTGAGTGCTGAGAGCTGTAAAGCAGGTTTCGCCTGAGCAGATCTGAGATTTAAAATCTCTCAAAAGCGATTTAGCCGTTTTAGCTACAGTAACAATTATACAGAGTCGAATAAATGAAACCGAGAAGTCTAATTAAACAAGAATATAACTTACAGTGGTTGCTGCGTCAATAGGTAATGTTGTCACCGGGTCCAGATGCACGTTGTTTTTAATCCAATTGGACCCCAATCCCTTTTTGTCCAGAGGTCTGATATCTTCTGAAGTTTAAGTGCATCTAAAGCAATGAGAGTTAGAGGTCATCAATAGTTGGAAGTGTTTGAGAGCTGCATCACGTGTTTATTTTGCTATAAGAAGTTAGTGAGATGGAAGGTCAAGTGTGGAGTCTCAAACGTTAGAAGATAAACAGTAACCCACTGTTTAACACCCAAATGACCAAGGAAAGAGCTACGTTCCAAGAAAATCTGAGTGTGTCCACAGATAAATCTGGTTAGATTTAAAAAGGCTTCTTTTACTTTCCATTTGAGCCACTGTACACATAGAAACGCTGGCTTGGTATTTATTGTGTACGTGTAAAACAGGGTTTGGAAAACATTCAAGTAGAGTAAGCCTCCCCAGTGTGGTTCTAGGGCTGCATAGCATTAACAAAAACCTTCTGACTCTACTTCCAGATGTGCTGTGGAACCAATCAAAAACAGCACTCAGTACTGGGTGAAAAGCCAACAACATCTAACCCAAGCAGCCAGCATCTAACAGTTACAACTGCTAAGATCGATTAGTTGCTATTGATATTTTGTCATTCAACTAAATAAATCATCAATACAATTGATTATACAAAACCTTGTATGCCACTTTTTAATCCTTGAATGGGGACTATAGCACAACATAAATAACTATCGTGAGGCACCGTTGTTGACTACTTCAACATTTTAAGCTTTAGTTCAATGTAGAGGGATTACTTTCTGTTAAAACAAATCTCTCATCCCTGTAGCATCTGTGCGTCATGTGCCCTTGAACACTCGTGTTTTATGCATGAATTCTGACATTGTGAGGCTGGAGTCATACTGTATAGTGATCGCTCTATGCTCTGTATGCTCAAACAGTCATTTCTGAGCAAACAGATGAAATATGTGTGATGTGGTCAGGATGCTCCATATTTTAGGTACAGAATGCCCTCAGTGTGAAAAGATGTTTCCTATTTCCCCTTTCATTCCCTCCACCCCCTTCATCCACCAATCACAACCTGCCTCTGCGTGTACAACCCGCCTCCTCCTCTCTCCTCCGCACCGGCCCTCCCCCATCATTTCCCTGGCACGAGTCACGACTCACAAACAGAGATTTTCCGTCTCAGATTTTTGCTGACTTGTGTGGTTTTTTTTGTGAAGTGCATCTGCACTATTATGACTCTAATATCACTAGTTCCTCAGATTGCACAGCATAGTTGTTAGGGTGTCAGATAACTATGGCTGTACATGAATGCAGATGTGGGTGTGTTTGGCTTGGATGGGAACTTGATGCCCCCACTGGCTCCTCCAGAGGTGGAGGAGGGAGGAGGAGAGGGAGTTTTAGAGGAGGTCAGCGCTGCCTCTCCACTCCCTGCAGCTCCTCACAGCTGCTTCACAACCCTCCTCTGTAGCTCATCCAAACTAAGTTCTCATCCAGCTGTGATACAGACCACCATTTCTTTACAAGCTAACTTCCTTTGTGTCCCTATTTCCTTTTCGCTGTCATCCTCCTGGCCTTGACTCCTATAGTCAGCAAACTGTTTTCTTTAAACAATAATTCACAGGAGGCTATACGTTCTGTTAATAAATGGGATGGATAACGTATATAGAGCACTGCAGTCCTACATGAGTCACCCATCAAACCGACATCTCCCTCCTTCTCTCTCATGCTTGCGGCTATACTCGTCGACTTTAGTTAATCTTCACCACACCAGGACATTTCTTTGACCCACAGCCATAGCCTGGCTGCTCTGCCTTGTCATGACAATTGGGGTCTGTATGGAAGCAGCTAGCCTCAGTGTGCACAGACCACAGCACATTGTCATCACTCACCAACAAAATCTCCAAGGAATTCATTTAATGCTCACAGCAGGGGGAAGAAACAACAAACAGCCAGGAAACTGCGGCGTCACTTTAAAGAAAGGAGTTTTAGGTCATGTTTCAATTCACAGACAAAATGATTTAGAGTGACTGAAAACGTCTTCATCGAACACAAGTGAATGAAACATCTCCCTTTTACACACCCATTCACACAGAGGTCATATGTGTAGTTTTCACCTCTAAAGGCAAATAAGCACTGAAGAGTAAACAAAAGACAAGGTGATTGTGAAACTTACCTGCCATGCAAAACTTTGAACTGAACAACTTCACTCAGCCAGCCTTTGGATGCTCTTGATTACAGTTCTAAAGGAGAGTCCAGGCACAGACTGAGATAACAGATCCGTGTTTGACCCTTGTTCATCATTACAGCTTGAACAATGAAGCAATAAACACAGTTACACTGACAAGGATACTGAGAATGTATGTTAAACCTTGTCAGTAAAGCAGTAAAGTTAGGTATTCAAATTCGTAAAAACAAATACTTAATCTTCAAGTTCACAAACCAACACTTTTACTAGGTTAAATGCTTATAGTGTATGTAATGATTCAGCACATGTAATCCCACAAAGTAGGGGCAGAGGGTGTGTCAACACACATCTTTACATAACATTTGAGAACGCCACCAATGTGGAATAATGTAACATAATAATCCAACACTAGGACAAAGATCTTAAATTAGATACTTGAATTATAAAGCTGAGCCTTACATGCTTAAATGTTTCTGGAATAATTGTCGATACATCTTAAGAAGATCAAGCACTTACTGTGTATTTTGTGATAACCAAGACATAAGACCTATACCAGGGGTGCCCAACCTTTTTTGAACCGAGAGCTACTTTTAAAGTTGCCAGTCTGCCGAGATCTACCAATCCAAATAGAGAGGCGTAGCCATTACTGACAGCCTACTACCAGGTAAATACACACTTCTACTTGTATAAAACTGACCTTTGTACGATTAATACTTCATAAAATACTGCAGATCCTTTATCTTACCTCTTTCTAATCTACACACATACAAGTATTTAACTGAAGTTACACAACAGTGTTGTTGATACATAGTTTGAGTTTATTCACACGTCACTACAGTGGGTAATGTTTTCAAGAAACATTGAACAGTGCTGCCACATATGACACAGGACAAAAAGAAAAAACTCTGAACCCTTTCTTTGCCATTATATAAAAAATAGTGTTGCTACAAAAGTATACATTCGGCTTACTAATAAGACAACTCAGATCTGAAGCTACTCAGGAATCTGCTGCCAACGTGCAATAAAAAAGACAAAATTAATAGAATCAAACCATTTTTTTGTTGCATTTTAGTAGAATATAAAATAAATGCCTTTAAAATAGGATGCAAGCAACACTCGTTTCTTAACCTGAATTGATAATAGACTATAATCAATTTAAACAGAACAGATCTTAATGTTTGCATTCTTATACCATTTTGTACAATAATTATAATGAATAAGTTCAAACAAACTAAAACTTACAGCTGATTAATAACGGTATCTAACTTGAGTTTTTATTATATCAAAAACCTGTCCCCAAAACGCGCGTCAGCAGCCTCCAGGAATGCTTCTTTCACAACTTCTCCGTCTTTGAAAGACTTCATGTGTTTCTCAAGAACGTGACTGACACGATAAGATGCTCTGGTAGCAGCAGCCTTGCTCTTGTTGTTGGGCCTGGTGGAAATGGACTGCTGTGCATTTAGCTGTCCTTTCAGGCCCCTCCCCTTTTGGAGCGTAGGAGGAGGGAGTTCCGTCTCGTAGCGTTTGTGTACTGTTTTGAAATGCCGCTCCTAAATTACCCTTCTTCGATAAAGCCACGCTCCCAATGCAGATGAGAGACAGATGGACTTTGAATTGGAATAGATACAAAAATAATCATCCTCCCACTCGGAGTGAAAATTATATATTTTGGGCTTTTTTGCTTCTGCCATAATTGCGGTCTTGTGTGTGTGCGGACTGTCACTCCTGTTGACACGGTCGGACAACAACGTCAGCAAAATAGTGCCCACTGCCCACCAGCCACGCCCCGACACATGGGGTCACGCCGGCCAATCACAAAGCTTTGATGCGTTCAAGTGCATTCTGGCACAGGAACATTATGTTACAGGACATTAACGATAAAACAGAATGTTGTTGTTCTATTTTTAGACACATCTCGCGATCGACTGGGAATCTCCTCGCGATCGACCGGTCGATCGCGATCGACTGGTTGGGCACCCCTGACCTATACTGAGGTGATAGCTGGTAACAGTAACATTTCATGTAAGCTTTATCCACTTTTATTTGATAAGGCTCATACATGTTTAACCATCATAAGCATGGTTAAATAGAAGTGACAGATCAGTGTATCACTCTGTTCATTAAAAAAGATAAGAAGCTTATCTTTCTAAAAATACAAGCAGTATTTGTATTGAAAGTGCATGGAATATACTGAATCAATGCTATATAAATACGACATGATGTGGGTGCAAACTATGCATGTTCTGTAGCTAGCTGCTTAGACTAATCTGCTCCAAGGCATGTCTCAATCACAAAAGACTTGCAAAAAGATAATTATAACAACTGCAGATACTGAAAATCTGTAGATAAATCCACACCAGTTCATTTCCAATGCAAAACTCAAAGCAAATTCGGTTTTCCCATTCAAATCAACCAGAAAACAAATTACCGTATCCATCAACTCCTTGGCCTCCTCTCTGTCTTTGTGTGCCAAACAGCGTAAAGGTCTTGCTGACTTAATGGCAATCGGTTTGTGGAATGATAAGAGGAAGTGACACAGCACAGTGGTCGTCAGCACTCCTATCATGTGACTTTGGCTGGTCCAAAAGACAGTAAAACCCTTCATCATCATCATCATCATCATCATCACCAGTCCATCTGTCTCACATGTACTGGTTTGATTAACACTCTGTGAGCTCTAAGCCATACGTAGAGGAGCTGCTGCACTAAATATCTGTTTCACACATAATGTGTTGCTGTCATCCGCTATCAGATGTCAAGTACTTCTCTGAGCTGAGAGCACATAGGCCAGATCTAATACACAGCTCAATCTGTCCACTTGTACAACCCTTATTGCAACATCTTCTCTAATTGCGCATTAATTAGCAGTTATTATACAAGCCTACTGCACAGCTCATATCGGCTGGTGTTATATGACTTACATCCAGCTTTATATTGTCCTTATATTTATTAAATGTGTCTATTCTGCCTAAAGGGGTGGTCTTTAAATAGTTTTCTGCACATACATCTGCACTGTCGTGTTCTAACCTTGCTTCTTTGGTTTAACTGTTTATGAGATGTGCTCTATGTTTGGACATCTACAGCACTGCGGAAATAAGGGATGAAATGTTTGGTGTCACAGATAAATCAGATTACTATTGCCTCTTCCCCACAGCATCAGGATTATAAACGTAATTCCTATTTATGAAAGCTCTCTCGAAATCTCGCTCTACGACCAGTGGAGTGACGGTTGTGATGCATTTCCACTGAAGGTGCTCTACATATTGCAGCCATTAAACCTGCTCCTTTATGCATTGTTATCACCTGTTTTAGATCAGATATAACAAGCTGGGTTTACATTTCAGGCAGCACAAATGCCCCTTCTGTGACACCACAGGTATCTTTGGTGGCCCACTTATTGAAGTCACATGGGGCTTCTCAAATGTTTTGCTTCCCTCTCATATTTCCTACAGTTTGGATAGGAAAATAATGACACCACTGTGAGTGAACTTTGCTTAGAAAAAGAGCTCAATGCAGCATTGAATCATCTGATTACAGTTTGCCGATTACAGGAAGGCATTGAATAGCCTGAAGGTTTGTAACTTTCACCAAGGAGCTCAGCATCTTCCCACACACAGCTGAATGTCATGTCTATTCAATGGACATAAACCAGTGGCATTTAGTAGTCCTTGCCTTTTGGCATTATTTCTGGAAATGCTATGAGTTGAGTCCTGCATGCAGATTAAACAAGTATTTCATACAATGCTGTTGAATGAGAGAAAATCAATGTTTTCTGCACTAACAGCACGACAACAGTTCCAATGGAAAACACAGGATGTCACCCTACACCAAAGCATGACTGCCTTCATGAATTATTTCAAAGCTGCAGGAGTGCTTTATTACACTGCTCGCCTCATCATAACCTAATAACATTACACTTGCTTCCTTTGAAACCATGCCCAACGTATTGACATTTAGCTCAGCAGTTAGATTATGTGGAGTTCAGCAAAATACGGGGGTAAATCTGTGGTCGACATATTCCGCATTAATTAAAATATCTTCCTTTAATCCTGTCTTCAAGAAGTCACAGTATGTTAATGTGCTACAGTCTCAGAGGAGAGTAGCTTCACTTTTCTATACCAATGAGAAAGGAGGTGGGTACAGAGTAAGTGGGTTTACCCTCCACTACTACCACAGCCAACACACACACACACACACACACACACACACACACACACACACACTGTCAATAGTGAGCGGAAGCCGGCAGAAAGAAACCGCAGCGGCCCCCTTAGGCTACGGGAGAAATTCTGGAATCGGTTCGGTTTCTCTTGACATCTAAAACCAATGAATCCATTCAAACTGATAATGTTAATACATTACCGTTACACCTGTCATTAACGCTTCGACACGTTTATGCGTAAGATATATAACCGACATATCAGAGACCCGAGTAACCATAGGCAATAACCGTAAATCATGACACCCATAACCGTAGTAGTTTATGATTTAACGTCATATAAGAAGCCTGCCGTTACGATAACATATTTAAATCACAAATGTAACGTCAGAAAATATGCCAGGATTGCCACATAACGGGAAATTGAGCTGCCTCTCACATTTAAGCAGTAACAACTATATGGTTAAAATCACATTACAAGTTGGTTTTTCGTTTCCATTCAAAGCTAATAGGACATTTAAATGATTATATCGCCTTTACGTTATTCACAGGAGAGATTTTACCGAGGTACGTTTTTTGAAAAGACACGATTCACAACATCTGCATTCTACATACCACATATAGAGCCGTTTCCGTTATCTCTCTCGGTGTGGTGTATGGAATCAACGCCTTTACTGTCTGGGTCTTTGGCTGGCTGACCGACAATAACTAACCTTACCGGTGTTACTAGCGTTTGAGTCCAGAGGAGGGAGGTGGAGGAGGTGGGAGTGAGAGCAGGGAGGGCTGGCGATGGAGTAGGATAAAAAAAGAAAATAAGGGATTTATAAACGGGGTCCTCTAGTGGTAGGTAGTAGAAGTACAGACACATTGTGTATTTGCAGTAAAGGTGTAGAGAGGATGGGGGATGGTGGCCAGCGTCATCGTGATGAATCATCTCACCCCAATGACCTTGAATACTAAAAATAGAGAAAAAGGCTACAGCTGAAATATTGGGGATGAAGTGCAGCATGCAGCTATAATAAAAGTGTCTGAATCAGCCATCACTCACTGCAGAGCACTGCATGAAGTTTAAAAACAGCTGACACATATCTTTACATAACATTTTTACTCGAGATGAAAATTCAAAGATACATCAAAACTTGTTTCAATATAAAGTACTGATAATTCACTGATATGTGCTTCAGCTAAGCTGGTTTCTAGGTGACAAAAGGCACACAAGGAAGAGATGTAATGACGTAAAAATGGCCTCCTCTTGCATTTTCAGTAAGTGGTCCAGGCCTCCACAGTAATACAGTTCCCAGTGTTTGCTCTGCCTCTTAACTCTGTCCTGGACAGGTAATATTGACTTTTCTGCCAATTAACAAAATAAATTTGATTAAGTCAATATAACAAGACACGGAGTCAAACTCATGAGGCAGCATGAGATACTAAGTCAGTTATGAGATACTGAGTCTGAATGGTGAAGATGATTACTTAAATATTCACAATTATGATGCAAGTCAGTTTTTGTAAAATAGGAAATATTAGAAAATAGGTCAAGAATTGTCACTAAGTATCTCTTACTATGAATATTATTATTAAATTATAGTTTTATATTTTCCTTGGAGAAAATAATCATAAATAGTGTTGTCTTGCATACCCAGGTAGTTTTAAAAAGTGGTAAAAACAAGCCTCAGGTCATCATCTTCATGCAGTCCATCCACTTCCTCTGTCCTCTGCAGGTCTCTTAAAGGTGCCGCCAGCTGTTAACTGGCTATCATGATTGTGTTAAGATAGATTTTTGTACTCCAGGACAGTTGTTTAGACAGCAGGATGAGATGAAGGGGGCACGTTGTAAACAAACAGGTTACTCAAGTGTAAGTCAGCCATCTGCACCCAGCGAGGGGGCTTCTACTGCTGTGCTTCAGCGAGGGAGGAGCTCCCTTCCTCCAGGCCCACTCTCCTCAGTGACTCCGAGTACTTTCTCCTTCCTATACTGACAATGTTCTCGATCTCCTCGGCCAGGTCTGTCCTGCCGCTCTCCATCAGAGCGGCCACCAGCCTGGACGCTGCTCCCGGTCCTGCACTGCTCTGTCCCCTCGCCCAGTGGAACAGCATCTCCAGCACCAGGGCTCCCAGGTTGTCCCTGGTGAGGTCAAACACACACAAAACATCAATACAGTCACTTAGCAATCATTGAAAGATAACTGTTGTAAAACAATTACATATTAGTGGTTCTGCAGAACTATTATGGGTTGTTTTGAATGTATGAATGGATATGCATGTGTCTGTGTGTATAATACAGTAGGTTTGCAGATGTATGGGCATCTACAGTATATGAGTGTTTATGTAAATATGTGTGTAGATTCTGTTCTTCATTTGGGATGGATCCTCTCTTTTTTACTTCTGTTAATCTGTTCTTTGGAAGAAAACCCTATAAATAGTTGACAACAAAAATGTTACTTTTAAATGAATAAGTGGTTTCTCAAATCACCCCAAAATGGTATTCTATAAACTGTATAGCTCTATGGCCATGAGTTTTTTCATTTGTAGGATAAATTCTAGATATTGTACCTTGATGAACATGCTATATGAATATATATGAATATGCAGATTAACACAGGCTGTTCACATGTTAAAAGCTTTATGTAGTTTCAAGATAAACCATAAACTACAAGCTTTTTGTCAACAAAACGAAATCATTCAAATGACATGTGAACACATTTCCATAAAATAACTGTACAACATGTATACATGTATACAACATGTAAGTATGATTTTACATAATGCATTTTTCCTTAATCTCCATGATGCGTCACAAGAGGTTTTCTGAGCACGAGGAGTCGGGGGGGGGGGGGGGGGGGGGGGGACGGGACAGATGAGCATCAGTCTGTGTGTAATCTCCTGCAGCGTCCCAGATGGCTTAGTGATGGCTGACAGTGCAGATTAAAACAATCAACATTCTCTACCATTTCTCTCCCAATGAGGTTTTCCTTCACTCACATTACATCTCTCCAATCCCATCCTGTTCCTCAGAGGCTTTGGCTGCGCTAACACGACTGTGCACGCACTGCTTATGTCATTCACTCATGTGGAGATGGTTTAAAGACTAAACGTACAACCACATCTCAATCTGTCTTGCAGGTTCTTTAGCAAAACTCTAGATGAAACAACACAAGGTGAAATAATGGTTGGATTGCTGCTTTCATATGAATGTGTACCTAACCTTTTAAAGTTCAAACACCGTCTTTATTTAAATCTCTCCTAGATCCAAAAGAAACCAAATATGTCTGAATGTATAGTGTGACAGGTTAACAGCGTTGTGTATGAGAGGCTTGGCACGAAGATAAACACACAACTGGACTGAATTTTGAAAAAAACACAGATTGAGTATTTCATATATTGTAAAACAATTACCACATCACTTAATACTGTGGTCAGAAAAAGAGTTTATGCTAATTCCTACCTGTACTTGAACTGGATGCGGTCCAACTCCTGGTAGCTTAAGCCAAGATTGATACCGATAACACGCCAGTCCTTTGCTATCTGAAGAGAGATGGACAGCAGGTTGGCCTCCGTCAGGTAGCCGCTCTCAGGGTCCCCCAGGTTCAGAGGGGGATACTGGTGCTCTTCCATGATGAAATTATTTTCTGAGTTGAGGGCCTATAATAAAAACAGAGAAAAAAATAGTATGAGCAGTGAAGAAAAAATAGGTAATACGCTTTTAGGATAGGGTAAGCAATGGAGTTACAATACAAAATTGACAGTTCAGCTTACTTTTAAGGGGGTTCCATAATATTGGTTGGTGATCTTAAAGCATCTCAGTGCCTCAGATTAATAATAATAGCTTGGATTTATATAGCGCCTTTCATGAGACCCAAGGTCGCTTTACAAAGAAGAACAGGAGTAGAAACATAACAAAAACAAAAGGCAGTCAGACAGACAAAACAAGTAGATTAGGGGCCAAAGGCCTTAGCAAACAGATGTGACTTGGGGGCCCTTTTGAAGGCGTCAAGCATGGGGATGTTGCGGATCTCCGCAGGGAGAGCGTTCCAGAGGGTTGAGGCTGCCACACTGAAGTCTGTATGTATGTGTGAGTACCCTAGCAGCACAGTTTTGAACATACTGGAGCCTGTTTAATAATTGCATTTATAATTTTTTTGTTTCATGAGGAACACTGTGCTGTTGATGTTTCTAGAGGAGTTTACATTTGAACAACTGGCCTCATTACACTTGATGAAGAGTTGTTGGGTCCAAACACGTAGCCATGATAAAGGATTATGTGCAACATTTCTTGCAGGTTTTAATGGTAGCAGCCAACATTATTTTGTTGCTTTATTTAAAAGAAATAAATCTAGCTTCGATTTTAATAATAGTGTTATCTACAGCTCTGAAAGAAATTAAGAGACAACTCAAACATTTTCTTGAATCTCTATCACGACATGTATGGCAGCCATTCCATTCCAGTGTCCTTTGAATTCTAACACAGAGAAATGTTGTCAGTAGTTTATAAAATAAAATAAAAACAATGTTCATTTTACTCAAACACATAACTATAAATTGTAAGACCAGAGAAACTGATGCAGTGGTCTCTTGATTTTTTTCCAGAGCTGTATATCTAATCCAATATTTTAAGACAAAATGCAATAGAAAAATGTTGTTATTAAACCGTATAAATGTTCCAGAAATATTGAAATATCTACATTATCATATCAAATAGGGAAAGAAAATACAGTCACTCCAACTAACAGGAAGTCTTAGTGGTAAAGTGGAAAGCCACTGGCTGTCAGGTCCTTTCCTCTTCCTCGCCACTTCCTCTGGCAGGTTGCTGGGAATCTCCCCTCTATAAAAAGACACCTGTAGGGAAATACAAAACATATTTTCAATATTTTTTTTTATTTGGACTAACATTGATATTAGCAACACCTAACTATATCATTCAAAACATTACAAAAACAACCCATAAAGCCTAAAGTACACCCCCAAAGTTAACTATGGATTTGAATGAATATGTCTCTGACCGTTTCAGAGGTAGTATTTATTACAGGTGGGTTTTGATCATATAACGGTGTACAGAGGTTACTACTGTCTGGTCACTTAAAGCTCCATTCAGACTGGATTTATTTCCCCAGGGGTAACACTACAGCAATAATTACAACTGCAATTACCTACTATTTTTTCTGCAGACTCCCAGATCCTCCTGTAATTTATATCCCGTACAGAGCAACGTCCTTGTAAGTGGAGCTCTCAGTTTTTTATGCAGGGAGAGCGGCTGCCTTTATTTCATCTTTTAAATCAGCTCTGACTGCTTTAACTTTTGTATAAAAAGGTTTGGTAATCGGATTTATGAAAAGATCCTGGATTACACAAGATATAGGTCTATTTGGGTAAAGCTCCACTATAACAGCACAATTTAAAGCCATCAGAAGGACAAGGGTATGTAAATGGTCTGTTGTCATGTCAGCTACAGGAATTAGTATATTTTCTTTTAATTTTTTTGGCATATATTTATAGATTTTAGACATTTGCATAATTAAAAGTATGCTGCAAAAGCTGATAGCGGTTCCTTTAGAGACATTTACCACTGGGTCATGTTGATGCTAAAGAAAACCCAAACTTTCTATTATTCTCAGGCAAGTTATGAAGCGTCCTTCTCGTTCATCTGCCTATTATCTGACTGATGACAACCTTGTAAAGTGTAAGTCCCTTTGAATGTCATCAATATGTGATTCATTTCTATGTGTAAAGATTTGATTGAATTACGACTCTAACAATGTCCATATCTATTACAGATCATATAATGTAATTTCCCATGAGTAAAATGCCGCCTTTAACAAGGAGTTGAATGACAGAGGAGCACAGTGACCTTTAGAATCCCTTACTCCCATTGTGATCCTATTCAAAAGCGTGCTTAAGTGTATAATGTACTTTTCTCTACATGAGAGATGTGTACAATCCGTTACTGTTATGATTGTTTCTTATAAACAAACAGAAAACACAGCAGAAATCATTGTTTCCAGAGCTTTCTTGTTTGCTGAATTAGATGTCTGTCTTACTTGTCCCCTCACTGGCCCCTTCTGACCCTGATCCGGACAGATGTACACTTCCTTCAGATTCTTCATGCTGGAGTAAAACACAAAACACAGCCTTCCCGCCACACAGTCTGGACTCTCTGGAGAAAACAACAGGAAAACTCTGTCTCAAGATGACTTTTACATCACAATCATACCACAACAGCACATCATAAGACCTTGGACGGAAAGGGAGAAAAAAATGTTTATTTAAGATAGATCCTCAAAGAGGAGTTCAGACCTGTGCTGACATCCAAGCCCTTCTCAAAGCCGGCGAAGAACTGCTCTCCTTCCAGCAGGTCACACAGGTCCGAAGGCTGAGGTCCGTCATATCGCTCCGACAGAGACTGCACTCTGCATTCCACCTGGGCAGGAAGCATCAAAATGACTGCTTAATATACATTAATGTTATGATTGCATTTCTACAGGGGTGTAAATCAAAGTTCGTCACAATACAATACTATATCAGTTTTTGGACATTAACGTGGTAATGAAAGCTTTAGCGCAAGTTCAATAAGGAAGACCTAACTCGAGTCACTCACACGTCACTCTATGGCTCCCTTCCCCCCTCATTAAATACGAGGGCGTCACCCCTCAGCAGCCAATCGCTGCACATGCTAAATGCCTTAAATGCCTGCTCTTCCTCCCTGTCAGTAGTTGTCATTGCAGATGATCACACGCAACCCGCCTCCACCCCTCTCGCCTCCTGTCTCCTTCAGGACAAAGCTAAACCTTCCTCCTTCAGACCGGTCTCACCTACTCATCACCACCACCAGTGTCTAGACCCCGGGGATTTCATCGGAGCGGTGCTTTCCCTCCTGAATGATTATCCTGCAAACCGGGGCCTAATCGCCAAACACCATTACATTCTCCTGTTGTACTATCATGGCAATCATTTCATTCATATGACGTGTAAACAATAAATATGTAATCCTTACATCACGTCTCTCCGGTTTGAACTAGCTGATTTCAGAAACCCATAACATGATTTCTATTCAATTCAGGGGGCTGTGATCAATATGACAACATCATATGCTCGTGTTACACAATCATTTACATGTAGATCTAATCAAAGAAAACATTTCGAAGTGCAAATGTTTTTTGTCAGAAAATAAGGACGTACATTGAAGATGTTATGTATGCCTTTTTTACTTTGATCGCTAAATTGAGATTATATTCCACATCAATGGATCATCACACACCTAATTCACACCCATGATAAAAGATGTTTGACTCACTCCGAAGACTGAGAGAAAAGGGTCTATATACAGACTGTTCTTGGTGTGAGTGGATCTATTAAACCACACGGTGAGAGCAAAGAGAGAAGAACGACAAACCTTGTTGGAAGGTAAACACTGCAGCATCACTTGAGAAGGATCAGTCTTCCTCTGCAGGACGAGGAACTGGACTTTAAACTGTTTCAGCCTCTGATAGACCTTCCTGACCACGCCACCGACACAGCGCTGAGTGGTGTACCACAGCCAGTACCTGTGATGGAACACAAAGCTGTGTTAACACAAAGTTACTATAGAAATCAAGCATAACTGATGAAAATATACAAGAAAAACTTACCAGGAGAAATGTGTGATGTAGAAAATGGCATACAAGTGTGTGACGTCAAGAGACACTTGAGATGTGATGTCAGTCCAGGTTTGGGCGGTGGGGTCTCCGTGTAGCAGATGCAAACAAGAGGTGTCGACTGTATGACCTGCAGAAGACATGTTAAAGGAATACCCAGCCCATGTTGCCTCTGATTCCTAAAGAATACTTTGTTTTTCTCACATGCCTCGATGGTAAAAGAAGAATACAAAAAACGCACAAATCTAAATAAGGGCTGTGTTTAGAAACAGCAAACTAATTTATATCAAACATCGCTTTAACCACATTCACACGACTGGTGCAATGTACTCCAAGTATTTTTTATTCACTACTTCCCAAATACATGCATATTCGCTCAAACTGTACTATTTAGCGCTACTTTGAAATACTAGGGTTTTTGTGAAAATGCATGCTTTTGGGAGGAATGTTTTAAAGGTGGAGGTATGCAGGGGAAAACACATTTTCTTTAAGAATCCTATTTAACAGGGGTATTACAGTAATTGATATAAAATGATTAATGGTAAATTGCTTTAAGATTAAAGTATATTCTGTTTTAAATAGAATGAAGGCATATTGTACCTGTGACTCCAGGTGGCAGAGGGATCTGAACTTTGATTGGCTGCAGGAAATCTATGCTGGGAGTCTGTGAGAGGCAGAGGAGAGGGCTGACTCTGGCCTGAGGGTCTCCACACAGTGCCTGCACCTCCGACACAGACACCTGCAACACCTGCAGAAAGAGAGCCAAACGAAAGCCTTGCAAACTGTATGTGTATTGATTCTGTCGAGTACTTTTTGCAAACCAAACTGGGACATTAAACAACAGACTTCCATATAATGCAGTGTTACCTGTAGGGTTATAGAGCGCGTCTGCAGGGTGGAGTCGGGGGGGAACTGGAGCTTAACTCCAGGGTCAGCGCTGGATACCAGCAGGGCTCCAGCTGGTGTAACAGAGCAACTGTCCTTTACTGGACGGGACACTGCCATGAACCAGGAGAACTGGCTCACTGAGCAGCAGGCCAGCTACGGGTACACCAGCACTAATGTTAATATTTGTACTACAAAGACAACTGTAATAAAAATAGTTTTGTAAAGGTAGATTTGAGACGTTACCCTGGCTGGTCGCCCATCAGGGTGACTGCTGTGTCCCTCGCTTCCTCTCCGCAGAACAGTGGGCAGAGTGCTCCATGACTTTCCGTCAAACTTCTGTACCACCACCTCCCGTCTTTTGGTCCGATGATAGGGCACACACACCTCTACAGGCTGTAAGGGTTTCAAAGTGGAATTTATGACATGCGAGTTCAGGAAGGAACACGCTCACAAGTTGGCTTTAAAAGGTGGTCATCATTTCCTGTAAATCGCCTAATGAAACAGTTGACTCATCGCTGCTGCCTTTGATTCAAGAATGTCTCTTAAACATTTGTCTTGAACTCAAAAGCTTCAGTATTCAATGCAGTCTTTCTTTTATAGCTGTGTCTCCAAGCCCATAATGGGATAGCCCTGATGAGTACACTATGACTTCACCAAGCTTGTTTTTTGGGCTGTAGACTGTAACCGTTTCATCTGTATAAATGTAACTGTGATAGAGAGTAATACCAAAAATGACCATAAACTGATATTCCTGTTTAAAATCAGTGGAGTGTCCCTTTAACAGATTAAGTTGTATACCTTTAGAAATGTAATTCCATGAGGACTGAGTTCCAGTGGATGACTCAGCAAGGTGTCATGCTCCTCCAGCCTCACCCACTTCCTTTCTGGCCTTTTCTCAACCCACTTCAGTCTTGTGGTTGTCACCAGGCACCCCGGGGGGAACAGGAGCTCAGCCCCCCCGGGGAGAAACACATGACACCCAGCAGACGAAACACAGAAACTAAGAAGCAAAAGAAGCATGACATAATTACTATTGACGTAGGAAGAAACGCCTTCATTTACACATTTACAGAAAACAGATTGAGAAACTATTCAGTGGTGCTGTACCTGTGCTGATTAAATCCGAGGTGCAACTCTTGGACTTTTGTTTCTGCTTGATCTGATAAGAAAAAGGTGATGCAAAAGAGTGAATATGCTGACAAACGCCATATCTAATTAGTCAGAAGGATTGAAGCACAAATCAATTGGAAGCCCATTTTCTCTGCTTACTAGGTACAGGAGGGAGAGGGGGAGGGGTTGGGGGTCGTCCCAAAGGATTGTCACGCACATCGATTTTCAGCAGAGGCAGTTTGTTCAGACAATGTGGGATCAGGCGGATGTCATTGCTGTAGATGACAAGCTCCCGGAGAGCAAGAAGGGAGCCTAGTCGACAAGGAAAGACAATGTTTACAACATGTGTTATCGCTGCATTCATGAATGTACCTTACATCAAATGAAATGATTATTCCAGTTTATTACCCATGCTCTCTGGCAGCTGCTTCAGTTTGTTGTGAGACAATTCCAGCTTAACAAGCCCCTCCAGAGAACCAATTTCATCAGGTAACTGCTGAAGGAGGTTATGTGAAATATCCAGTGTCTGTAGTGCTTGCAGCTGACCCAGACTCTGGGGAAGAGAGACCAGCTCATTCCCCAGGAGGGAGAGGTAGGTGAGCGAGGACAGCTGGCCTATATCGGGAGGCAAAGCTGAGAGGCGGTTGTTACAGAGGAGCAAAGAGGACAACACGGGCAGGCTCAGAAGGCAGGATGGCAGACAGGAGAGCCGGTTGAAGGAGAGATCCAGGTGCACCAGATCAGAGAGGGAGGAAACAGATGTCGGCAAGGTGGTGAGGAGGCCAGGCAGCGGGTCACCATGCGAGTCGTAAAAACAGTGTCCTTGAAATAGAAAGAATAGTGCAATTAGAAGAGGGGGGATTGGAATGAAGGCAATACAAATACAAGAATAACACCCATAACATAAGAGCTTACATGGATAGTTTTGATAAATTGAAGTGGGGTAGTATGAGGTACTTATTATAGGTCAGTGTAGATGGTGGAGAAACAGAGAGGACTACCAGTCAGGAAGCATACCAACATACTTTCTGTAAACTAAAATGAATATCAGTTCAAGAGTATGCTATTCTAAGGGCTGTCTAAAAGCAAGGTAAAGAAGTGAAAATATTTCTAAATATAGGGTACACTTAAAATAAAATTCACTTTGTTGTGGGTCTTTCCTTTAGGTGGCTTTTATATGTTTTGCTGTTCTGTATATATGTACATCTCTGCGCTGACAGCCATTTTCTTATACACTGGATATGGATTAGTACCTCATACTGTATCACCCAAATTAAAAATATTCTTCTAACACAGTATCAATGTATTTACTGTTGTATGTATGTAACAGCCAAAAACACAACAAAACAAGCTGAATTATACACTATAACCATCTATGTTAAAAATCAACCGATACCACATGAAATTAATCAGAAAAGTACCCCGAACAGCCAATGATCGGAGCTCTGTCAGATGGGGCAGGACCTCCAGGGCAGCATCCACAGCTGGTTGGTCCTCAGAGCCCAGTCTCAGGTACTGGAGGCCCCTCAGCTGCCCCGGGACGGACCCCCAGAGCAAAGGCAGTGCAGCCGCTCCTCCCTGGTACACATCTAGGGTCAGCTTTGTGTCAGTCAACAGGGCTGACAGCTCCACCGAGGGAGGCAGGGGTGGAGTCAGGGACAACACAGAGGAAGAGGAAGATGAGGATGAAGAGAGATCTAGATGGTGATGTGTTGAGGAGAAGTAAGAGGAGAGGCTTGATGGAGATGGACTACAGGTCTCCACAAGGCTTGAGGAAGACACAGATGGAGCATCCCTCTCTGGCTCAACTACTTCTGTCTGACTCTCAGACATCACACCACTTGTTGGTCCAGTCTCTGATTTCTCTGGATCCTGGTGCACAAGTTCTCTACAGAGCCTTAAAGCCAAAATGTCCATTGAAGGCTCTGGTACTCCACCTGTGAATGGCTTGCATGCAGGTGTCACTTTCACCTCTTCATCCTCCGACCTGCCTGGTGTCCTAATCAAACAGGTGGCCTGGTCTCCATCCTCTTCATCAGTAGGTGCCTCTTCCTCGCTGCTTCTCTCCATTGAAGAGACAGTTTAAAACACTATCTAGCTAACAGCTTCCTGCTAAGTTAGTCCAATACTGATCCGAGGATTTTTCTGCATGATGTCCCTTTAACATTACTGACTACATTGTTGCTTCCTTCCTTTAAAGTAAGATGAAGCTAAATGACTGCCATGGAAAAAGACGAGGAACATTTTACATGACATGTTTGCTATGTGGTGTTACAGTTGCAGTAATGTTAGCAACTAGCTAGCCACTATTTGAGCTAAAAAGTACATATCTGATGCACTCTGTGGCTACTGAAGTGGCCTTTATGTTCCTCTTCTAATGTTACCCTTAATCTAATGTGGTGCTACTAACTAAATCATGTGTTATCTGCCTCCGCGTGAAACGGTTTCTCCCTCTATCCTTCAATGCTTTGTATTTTCTCTGCTTACTTCCTTATGTCCGACAATGTTTTTAAAGTAAAAGCCGTGAGTCACAGCAGTGCGTTTGTTTTCTAGTACATCGTTTACCGACGGGCGACGGGAGGAGTCTAACAATGTATATCGTTCTAAAAGTGAGGAGCCCCGCCTCTCCGGCTGTTGTCGTTTATATAATCGAGCGCCATTGAGCTAGCGCCGCCAAAGTTTCAATTCTGGGCGGGACGCTTGTTTCAACCACGGTGTCAACGTGTGTGCTCCTGACCTGCTCGGCCAGCGGGCGGCGCTGTTGAGTATGCTGCCGCGTTTGGTACAGTGTGTTCTTAAATTATAAATAAAACAGACCATAGTTTCACATAACTCAAGCTAAAAACAATTGTATTATATGTCGTTTAAATGTTTAAAGCATCAACACTGGTAATAGTGCTTGGTAGATGCTTTATTTGCTAACGTATGGGTCTATTTGTCATGAGTAAATGTTAAATTGTATAATAGAAAAACCCAAATATGTCTCTTTTTAATGTTTTTTTTTAGATTTGCTAGCTAGGCAGACACCTTAGTGAACGTATTATCAAATAATAATAATAATAATAATAATAATAGTATAACATCTTTTTTCAAATCATGTTTGCAATTCCTTTTGACGAATAATGACTTATATTTATTTTGGTTTCAGTGTTATAATGACTATTAATACAAGTTAGACTGTAATGGATAGACTACATGTATGTATTTAATTATAGATTGAATATATTTGTACAAACGATCACCCTTCTTCAAAAAGGTTACATCTTGTTTTTATCATACGTGTGGCCCATTTGTACTAACTGCATATTGACAAAGAAATAAGTTCAAAAGTTAAGCACTGTTGTGGAAACCATTTACTTGTGAAAGAATGTGTTCAATACAGAAACACTGTGCCAAAGGGAGACAATGGTTCAAATAACTAATTTGGGTAAAATAACAAATGTATCCTTAGGGAAACCACCCAGTGCAGCTGTCATCATCTGGTAAGGAACAAGTCTTATTTTGAATCACTTTTCTTGGAGTTTAGCCAGAATGTCTTTTTTGGGACACCAAAGGGAGTCTTTACATGTTTTTAGTATAATACAAACGTGTTCACTTTAACATAACACCTTCAAACTTGTCCCAACATGTTGTTTGTTAGGCTCTTGTTGACCACTGCCCACCCTTTTCACCCCCTGTTAACCTGAGATGTTTGGGTCCATTGGAAAGCTTTGACTGTTATTTGTCACACTTGAGAATAGAGAAATGTACTTTTTTTAGACAGTGACCTCTATAGTGGTTTCACAACACCATATTTCCCCTCAGGAACTGTGTACGAAACCGAACTTGGATCAGTGCCACCAAAAATGAACTATTTTTAATTCTGCGAATAGTTTATTCTAGGAAGTGTTCCAGAAAAACATGTCATTGTTATTGTTTGTTGTACTTTAAATGTAAGATATTTGTTATTTCATTACTACTTCTTATGAAACCCTACTACAATTTACTATTTTGTAAAGAATTGTGTTACCACTACCACAACAAAAACAGAAAACCATTAATGCAGGCTACCTTATATGAGTTTCATTGATAACAATAGGTTTGCTTAGCCAATATTGCATTGTGGGAAATCAATAAACATTCATCTTACTAAGAATCACGAAAGAAAGTCCCAATAAAGCCTAATCAGTTGATATCGACTGACACAAATAAAAACACTATCAACGAGAAACATTTAGAAAGGACAAAACGAAACGTGTTGTTCTGCCAGGGGACAACACATTTGACAGCTGTCAAGAGTGCCCGCTCATTGACTTCACTTGTCACAGCGGAGTGGTTTTTTTTTTTTAAATTGTGATTGGTCCCTTGGCTTTGTGGTGTCGATTGTGATTGGACAAGCCGGTTTAGTCCGTGCCCTGCTCCCGAAGAAGAACAACAATGTGAGATACAAACTACTCCCCTTGGCACCTCTCTATGTAGTATTTAACTAACTTAGGGCTGATAATGACATTAACTTACAGGGTTTGGCTGCATCACAAGAGAGTTATTCTGTTGTTAAATTAATTCAATTTAACAACGACAAGTGTCTTGTTAGCTTGAAGCTAAAAACAGTTAGCAGACAAAGTCCATTATCCTCAAGACAGCATGTAAAGAGGCACCACTATTAATTACTTAAGAACGCCGGTCGGCCTGAACTGCGGACTTTTTTTCTCTTCATATTTCAGTTATTAACCATACCAGCAGCGACATTTGCCCCAACTTTGCCCCAGCTGCGGACGGCACCGGCGGCATGTTTCCTCTAGACTCGCCGTGGAACCTCTCGTTTGCAGGCTGCGGCTTCCTGGGTATCTACCACGTCGGAGTGGCCAGCTGTCTGCTGGAGCAGGCGCCCTTTCTGGTGCACAACGCCAGGCACATATACGGGGCTTCAGCCGGAGCTATCACCGCCGGTGCGCTGGTCACTGGAGTGTGTCTTGGTAAGTATTAAGTAACTTTGATTGTTTAACATAGCAGGAGGGGGAAAGATGCTGTTAAAAAAAAACACACACACAACCAAGATGCTATACTATGTAACTTTGAAATGCTTTTGCTGTAAACTGCAAAGAACACATAGCTTTTTGAACATATGTAAAAAAGCCTACTAATCATTGTATAATATACTTACCATTTATCTCATACTATAGTTGAATTGCTATTACTTTTATTATGAATTATATTAACCTATCATATTAGAATATGCTAAACTATACTGTACCATATACTAAATTACATTATATTCTGCTGTTCTCAATTATGTTATTGCATTTAGAGGTAATGGAAGAAGAAGTAAAACATTTCAAAGTAATATTCAATAAAGTGTTTTCTTCACCTAATAATAGGATATACAATATGTGTTGATCACACTTTAAAGAAACTATAGTATTACTAATATTTCTACTATATGGTACCTTTTATTATTTAAAACGTATAGTACCTTTGAACTTGCTGCAGCTGTCGGGTAAAAGTAAAATATTATGATTTTCTTCTGATTTGTGACAGAATGAAATATTAAGTGGCACAAAATAGAAGTATTCAAGTAAGAACCTTAAAACATAGGTTTTGCCTTTCTAAATGTACGGTACACTATCTAACCAAACATCTAAATTTCCTGATTGTGTCATGTAAAGTACAGTTATATAAATAACTTCATCCCCAAACAGGAGAGACTGGTGCAGGGATCATCGATGTGGCCAAGGAGGCGAGGAAGCGATTCCTTGGACCCTTGCATCCTTCCTTTAACCTGGTGAAGATCATGCGTCAGATGTTACTGCGCACCCTGCCAGCTGATTCTCACCATGTGGCCAACGGACGGCTAGGAATCTCTCTGACCCGAGTGACCGATGGAGAAAATGTCCTGGTGTCGCACTTCAACAACAAGGAGGAGGTGGTGCAGGTGGGACTTTATTTGTTGTAGTTTTTTAGTTTATTTTAATCTCAACTCTGATAATATGCGGTAAACCATGGAAGGTTTGCCATGAGATTAGAAGTGAACATCTTTGTGGGTTGTAATGTTAGTTGGACAAAAAAATAATGATCTGTCAGTGACTCTTTATTTGACTCAACTATGTAATAGAATAATAACTTTGAAGCATCGTTTAAGAACAGTACAGCAATTCAGTTACATTGTAATATATAGTTTAACACTGTGATCCAAGTATAATAATAATAATATTATAATAATGTCTTATTGTATCTCTTTCGTTAACCAGGCAGTTGTCTGCAGTGCTTTCATCCCTGTGTATTCTGGCCTTATTCCTCCCACACTGCAAGGAGTGGTGAGTAGATTCAATATTTTTCAACATGCGTGCACCATCTTATTGTCAATATTTAGTCTAAATATTTCCTCTCATTGTGTTTGTCGTTGTTACTTTTGGCACTTATCCTTATCTATAACTGCTCCCATAAGAGGCTTCCCTTCCCCAAGAATGTGTTTGTGTTCAATGACATGTGTATGGAAACAATGATTATACAATTCCTCGGGGAATTGGGGAATGCAGTATTTTCCTTTTTTTTCCGGACATGTCTTTAGTGCAAAGGTTTTCTGAGCAATATCATTGAGCAACAGCAGCGCGCACACCCTCCCTCTGAAGCCTTTGTGACAGGTTTTAAGAGCAGGGCAAACATATCAGAGTGGCAGAGCTAGACGCCCACATTGTAGTTTAAAAGTTCACCAGCTCTGATAAAGACAAGCTGTTATCCATTTATTTTCTCTGAAAACAGGAACATTTCATTTTAAAGTGGCTGCTCAGGGCTGAAGTATACTATTATTCTTAAATTCCTTTGAAGAACAGGGAGTAGTGGTGGACTGTAGTCTCTTAATTACAATCAATAACAACAACAACCATGACTTTGAAAAATGATCCTTTTGAAATAAATGAAAAAAAGTGAATATTTCTTCTCGTAAAGTATTTCTTAAGTCAAAATCACAGGATGCAATTTTTGTTGGGATCAGATTTAGAGAATTATCTACCAGAATATTTGTTTCTCTTGCATCACAAGGCTCTGTATATTTCTGTTGGTTCTCAGTATTTCTCTTTTATCATCCAGCGATATGTAGACGGAGGAATCTCAGACAACCTGCCTCAGTATGAACTGAAAAATACCATCACCGTGTCTCCGTTCTCCGGAGAGAGCGACATCTGCCCCCGAGACACTTCCACCAACATACACGAGCTGAGATTTACCAACACAAGCATCCAGTTCACTCTCACAAACCTCTACAGAGTCTCCAGGGCCCTCTTCCCTCCAGACCCAATGGTATGTCTCGTGTTTAACACCTTCCTGATCCACAAACACAAAGACACACACCTACAGATCAATGGATTGAACCGGAGTAAACTCAGTGGACTTCCTGTGTTTGTTTGTTTTGGGTGCAGGTTATGAAGGCCATGTGTAAGCAGGGATATAAAGATGGTATGCACTTTTTAAAGAGGAATGGTAAGAAACAGTGTTATATATATTTTTTTTCTAACATTCTTAAAATAATGTTATGATCTGTTAAAAGAAATTAGGTCACTGTTGCTCAGAGGCAAACGAGAAGAAAAAAAGGTTATTTATACATCTGAACTGAGACCATACTTTTCTATCAAAGAAAGACATGATGCCAGTAGTGTGAGATGACCTTCAAACATACACTATATTATTATTATTATTATTATTATTATTATTATTATAACATGGGATAGTGGTGCACTTCTGCCTCTTGTGGCCAAAATTATAATGAAAAACTGAAACATAACAGAAAAATAATTTATTTTGATGATTTTAACGATTTTTAGGTCCAAAACACATAAATTAATACAGTTCAGAATAAATAAATAGAATGATCACATTTTTCTTTTCTCACTTGCCTCTCAGTTAGAACAAGCCTGAGTGTTGTTTTTGTCCTCTGGCCAGCAGATACTTGTACTTAGATTTTCTCTTTAGTGTCATTCATTGTTTTCGTTAATGTATTAATGTTTGACAATTTGTAACCACATAATCAAATGATATGATTTCTCAAATGATACGACAGAAATCAATGTTTATGAATAGGGAGATTACTATAAAGCAGTTTAATAGTTGAACTTATTACCTGACCATTGATCACAGAGAAGACAAAGTAATGTTATGACATTTTGCTTCTGTTTGCAGGATTGCTTAATTTCAACGGGCCTCACAGAGACAGACCCCTGCTGGCTAATGCTGAAGCAAATGAGGATTATAATGCTGATAAGGAAGAAAATAAAAGTGACCAAGAGGAGGAAAAGCCTGATGTGGAACAGGGAGCAGTGGCGGTTTATTGCAGTACCTCAGAAGAGGAGCAGTTCATCCAACACCTTCCACCCACCCTGCACAAAGGTAATATAAGAAGTGAACGGAAGTGTCTGTATATGTAGTTCACTATCCGATGATTAAATCCTCAGTGGTTTAGAGTTTTGAAATATATTTTCTTCTTCTTTTCTTACACTTACAACATACTTAAATTAGATAATCCATCACAGTTTATATACAACACAGATTATATACAACAGGATGCTTTTTTGATAATCGGATAAGTACCATAATACAGCATATACTTCATTTGATATATTATATAAAATGAAGTATATGCTGTATTATGGTTAGTTCTAATGTGAAGTATGGTCCTTTGAGGTCATTTGAACATATTAGTATATTATAATAGTACTTTCACAAATATTGTGGGTCATTTCAAATTTCCATGAGGACTGCAAATTACGATTATTTTATTATCAATCTATTTGCTAATTATTTTTGAGATTACAGTAATCCATTGATCATTAACGTAATATCTGAAAATAGAGATAAATGTCCATTCCAGTACTAAAAGTCCAAGGTGATGTCTTTGAATGTGTTGTTTGGTAAGCCCAAAACCTAAAGTTACTCACTTTAATACAACTAAGAAAAGCAAAAGAACCAACATATTTGATAGACTAAAAACAGCTATTTTTGTGTGAAATATGACTTTTTAACAACTGATTGATTATCAAAATATGCCATTTATTAGTAATGATGGACTATTGTCACAGCTGTAGTTTCCATTTAAAAATATTAATTTTTTCAAACATAGTAAGAACTAGAGCACACTGAAATGCTGTATCTGCCTACAAGAAACACTGTTGTGTTCTCTGGTCATATTTCTCCTGTTTATCTCATGAGTGTTAACGTGTGATTCTATGAGTAGTTTGATGTGACCACTGGTCCTCTTTGCCTCCCTCTGCAGCTCTCATCGAGGCCTGCATGGAGAGGAGGAGCCTGAAGCAGTCGCTAAGCAACCTGCTTCCTGTCAGGATGGCCTCCGCCATGATGCTGCCCTACACACTGCCTCTGGAGTCTGCCATGTCCATGACTCTCAGGTACTGAAGGACTTAATTATGTCGGTCCCATTCCCTCGTTATTACATGTGCACTCAGAGTAGTACTACAGTACAGTGCAGTACAGTGTAGTACCGTACAGTACAGTGTAGTACCGTGCAGTACAGTACAGTGTAGTACAGTACAGTGCACTACAGGTCTCCCTTGAAAAAGAGATCTATGATCTCAATGGGACCAATCTGGTTAAATAAAGGTTTGAAATGAAATGAAATGAAAACAGTGTAGCACAGTACAGTGCAGTACCAACTCTGTATATCTTACTGGGGTCTTTTATCAGAAATACTGTGTTGACTCCTGAGGGGAAAAAAATGATATTACAGTTGCTCAAATCCTGCAATAGAAATATATATATAGAGTGAAATTCTAAGAAGAAAAGAAACAAGGAATTAGTATGTAAAAATGTGTTCATTACACTACAATACATAACAATAAATATGTTAAAAAAAAGTAAACTTGTGCGATGATTAGTGTATCCAGAAAACTTAAATGCTCTATTTGAGTGGAATGTGTTGACTGTTTTCATTGATTAGTTACACTGTTGACCATTGTGACATCAACATACTGGAATGGCCTTCTGTGCCATTGGACTAACTTCAACATACCCTGTGTGTAGACTTCTGGAGTGGCTGCCAGATATACAAGATGATGTGGGATGGATGCAAGAGCAGATAATGAAAATCCTACAGCATGTTCTTGGCCAGGCCTCTAAAAGCATTACCGAGCATGTTTCTACCAGGTAGGTGACTGTGCAGTTAGACAGAGACAACTTCAATAATATGAGCAATTTTTTACAAGCACTGAAAAGACATCTATGTAGATTCATCACAACAAGCTCACCTTTGACATTGACTTCTCTTTACCACTTCTTACTGTAGGTTATCCTGGCAGATGGAGCTCCACCACTACCAGTCCCTCCCGTCCCAGTTCAGCTCCACCAGCCTGTTCCCCAGCTGGGTGAATGGGAGCAGTTCTTCAGTCCTGGATGTGTTCATGCGTCTCAACCAGTACAAGAACCAGCTGCTGTCTGGAGTGCTGTGTATCAACATGGACCTGCAAGGCTCCTTCAAAGCTGGAGCAGAAGATCAGAGTCCTCCCCCCACCCTCTCCGCTGAAGGCCTCACAATGGACAGATGTTGCCTTGAAATTCTTCCTGCTGCTGACTCTGAAGAAACCATCAGCAGCTCCTAAGATCTTCTGAAAGCTTTCCGCTGCAGCACTGAGCTTTAAACTGACTTATTCCAGATCAAGAAACATTTCAAAATGATCTGAACCCAACTTCAGATATTCTATCAGAAAGAAATGTGTGAACCCAATCAGCCACTTTGTATAGTGGTTGGACATTTTAATCATTTACCAAATGTACACACAATGTGTATTAAATATATTTGTTTAATTATACATGACAATTAAATAAGTCTTTAACTACAATGAAATCAAGCAAACCCATAGACAGTGTGTCTGTAACTCAATGTGCTCAAACATGAACAGACTAAGATTACAGGGCACTACAAACAAAAATGCACACTTTAAGTAGCATTGTTAAAATAAGCGAGTGTTTATTTGTTTGTGGAATGTAGTCAGACCAACAGCGTTCCTCCCATAGATGTAAAACAACTGTTTTCTATCTATGGTTCCTCATGCATCTGCATCAGCTCTGAAACACTACTGCCCAACAGTGGAAGCACCAGTCTGTTGTTGCAAGTTCCACTTAGTGATGCTTTAGTGTCAATGCAGTGTTGTTTTTACTTTTGTTCTTTAAACTTATTTATAAAAGACTGCTCTGCTCTGTTTTTACCAATCATAGAAGTGTGTTTCATTATCTTTTTACTTAGATGTGAGTAAAAACTATTTAATTTTAAATCTATATTGTATTGACTTTTGGCTTAAGAATCACATTCTTATTTGCATTCAAATGCAAACAATTACATATTTATTATATTTTCATAATCAAATAATCAGTTTAATCTGAATTGCACTTTCCGTGTTAATTAGGTAAGCTACCTGTTGAATACTTGATTCTTGTTTGTGTACTATAAGAAATAACTGACTGTTGTGCCTTATGCATTGAAATAATTGCCAAGTAAATGTACCATATTGCCTAAATGTTGGAGGGAATAATATTTATGTGATCATTAAATACAATTGATTTATTTAACATTGACTGCAGCCCATGAGTGTTTTGTGGTGTGAGTGAGTACTTAGTTAGACAATGATCCTCACATTACCTAGAAAAAGCAGCGACTGACGGTGAAAAGTGTGCGCAGAGCAGGGAACATTACACATTAAACAAACAGTGAATCAGGGACCTGAAGGAGTTTTGGGAGGTTTCCAGATGATCCCTGCAAAATTATAAATAATAGATAGATCGTGACTGTAAAGCACAGGAATACTGTAGCTCTTTGATCCACAGGACACAGTTAAACAATAACTATAGGGTGGAACTATATGGTGGAAAACTGACAGGTTGAATTCATTACATTTATTTTGTGTTATTTGAATCATAAAAAACTCCTTAGAAAAACCAGAAGCTCTGAAGAAAAAATAAACCAATAATCCCATACAATTATTTTGGTTTTGTGAATATAGAAATAGATATTTGAAATAAGATGAGATAAGCCTTTATGGAAATGCAAGTGTTTCAGCAGCACACGCACATGATTACAGATAAACAGAAAAAATAAATTAAATGCTATGTATTCAAACTGAAATAAGAATACAAATACAACTGGAAAAATGCACACAACGAGCACACAGGTATGGAGGACAGAACATGACATGATATAGTATTTAGTTGAAAAAACTATATAAGGATATTTAATATGAAAAAATAAAGGGATCAAAATAAAACTTAAAAAATTACTTTTTAAAAATATTTTAATATAAAACTACAAAAAAAAAAGTACAATGTAAAGGAGACGCAGATGAAGTCTATGCTTGATGCTACGTTACTTTAAAATCTATTAACTTAATACATCTCAATAATAAGTCAAATGTTAGCAAATTCTGCCATTATAAAGAAGGATTTACTATAGACAGTCAGAGTACCGTACTGTCTAAACTAGAGGCGCATATCGGGAATCCCCTGGTGTAGTCATCTCATAAACCATAACAACACTCATCACAGCGTTATCAGCGGTGGTTTGTTGCGAAGGATGTTTGCCCTTGATAAAGACGAAATATTTGTTTAAGTGTTTTTAGGAACATTTACTTTTTATGTTCGTCATTGCCCATCGTTGTTGCGTAGATACGTCACACTGCCTTCAAGTGATGTCGGGAAAAGTGACTCTCAAACCTGTTTCCTAATCTTGTTTTACATGTGAGACAGCTTCTGAAGTTTTAAGGTGGAGTGCATGTCGTACAATCTGTGTTACATTGGCCTCAATGACTCACAAAGTAAGATTATGTGAAAACAGAGACTTCATTGCTATCCATATTTAATACTGTAGGCTACAGTACATAGAGACACATTATTGTATACCCTAGCCTAGTAGTCCCCCTTTAAACAAACGAACCAACAGATGACCATAAGGTGCAAACAATTGTACAAAAACAGGTACAGGACAAGATACAAGTAACAAGCACGTCTTGCAATAATAAAAAGGATAAACACAAGTAGTGTTAAGAAACCAATGTAAATACATGTCTCCTGAGGACTTTTAGAGATAATTATTAGTATAGAAAAGTGTTTGTAATAAATCCCTCAAACAAACATGATCTGTCTAAGTATTATGCAGCACTATTAAAAACCAATAATATTATGCATAATTAAAAGAAACCCTGAATGAAATAGCATACACACTTTACATTAATATTATGCAGTTCAAATATGAGTACAATCTTACATCTCAATATATCTCGAATACGGTTCCTGAAACGGTTTAATTATAAAATACAGTTTACCCCACCAATGGAAAAAGGGCACATTTTTTTGTTTCCTTTAAAAAAAATAAAACATCTATCAGGGTTATTTGTCTGCATTATATTTTGTTCAGAGTTTTGATTATGTTTTGTTAAAATCCATCTTTGTTATTATGATATATATTTATTTACTGAACACTAACTATGTTAATGCATAAACGTACATTAATCTCAAAAAGTGAAGAAATGCTATATGCCGGATCATAGGCAAATCTAATTTCCAGTTGAAGTCCCTGGGCAAGTACACACATAACAATCATACAACGTTAACACATTTCCTAGTGCCTATCACACTTATAACAAATCCATATCAAAATACAGATGTATAAAATATAAATACTTTTTAAATATATTTGTCAATACAAATATAATTGTACATGTAGGCAATACAGTACAGCACAGTCAGAATCAGAATCAGAATACCTTTATTAGTTCCACAGAGGGGAAATGTACGTAGTTACAGCAGAAAAAGAGCCACAGACAGCTTAATGTTACATATGTTACATGCATTAAAAAGTACTAAGTTATGATATAATAAAAAATGTAAAAAATATAATAATAAATAAAAAATAAAAAAAGTTATATAATTTTCAAAATACACATCCTGTAACAGTTCTTAGGATTTAGCAGCCAGGCATATATAGCACCGTTTTAACAGCATATATATAGGCCTAAAATATATATTGCACATGTAGCACATTGGATCTTGGATGGTATTTAACAGCAGCAAGTTACACAATTTACAAAATACACATCTTGTAACAGTTCTAAGGATTTAGCAGTCAGGTATTTACACAGTTATTAACGGCATATATTGCACATATAGCACATATTGTACATAGTTTGTTGGTGTTTAACAGAAAGGGGTGTTATAGTCTGTGTTGTGGTGTGTGTGTCGGGTGGGGGTCTACTAGGGGCTCTTCTGGTTGTATAGTCTGACCGCTGCAGGAAGGAAGGACCAGCGGTATCTCTCCGTGAGACAGCGGAGAGAAGGAGCCTGCCTGTCGCTGAAGGAGCTGCACAGTGAGGACAGGGTGTCAGAGCATTTTAGTGAAAAAACACTGTCCCTCCCATCGAGTTAGGACTTTCCGAGTGGCCCTTGAAGGCAGCATAGGACTGCCACTCTGTCAGAAGTTCGCAGTGAAGTTCCAGGTTCCTCTGAGTCTCCACCAGGGGGCACAGCCCAGGGCAGGCAGGCTCACTCCAAACACTCCGCTCCTTCTCCTCGTACCATGAGCTGAATCTGTCCGGGACAGACCAGGGAAGATGGCGGCCACTGACCATTCCCGGTCCGAAGCTGCCAAACAGCGACGGCAGGATCAGCTGCAGCGATGGCTGGGCTCGGAGACGGATCGGACGCTATCGGAGAACCGGGAAACTTCGAGCGGTTCCGGGACGCGGCGGCCGAGAGTCCGGTTCGCCCAGGGAGCCGTGTTTATGGCCGCCTGCTCCGCCGGAGACCGGGAGGAGGTGGCGGTGCTACTCCGGCAGGGAGCTGACATCAACCACGCCAACATAGACGGGCTGACAGCGCTTCATCAGGTAGGAGCCTTAACGTTACTATATAATCGTTAACGACCGTTTAGATGTAGCTTCGTGTCTAAGAGTTAACCGTTAACGACCGTTTAGATTCAGCTGTTTATGAGTTTAACGTTTGAGTTTGAGCTAACTGTTGCTCGCATAGCAACAACGTGTATCCGTTAATGATCCTCACAGCGAAGAAGCATTAACTTAACTTTAACTTTAGCTTAATTTATCGTGGAGTTAAGTTGGTTACAGGTAAGGCCGAACAGTTAATCTCAGGTATGTCTGTTCATTTTAACAGCTGTTATTATGGTGGCTTAAACTGAGCCCATCACTTTACCCTCTCTAGACTTGTTTTTAAATCCTAGCAGCAGCAGCAGCACTTCTGGCCTGTGTGTCAGTGTGTGAGCCTGTTGGTAATATGCTGGGCCATACACACTGTTGTACCTAGTCATTTATAGGCTTCTTTTTTCGAGCATACATAGTTGAGATGTAAGGATATCAGTGAGCAGCATTAAACTAAAGAAGACTCTATGATCTTTCTTAGAAATGAAGGGCCCTGGTGGAGTCTCGTTTAAAATGGTAGGTCATATCCATCATCTGATCAACAGCTTTGTATTGTTTTTTTAAAGGAAGAAGTCGAAATGGAAGACTCCCAATATGAAAGTAGAATCTAAGGCAGGATCAAAGAGGGAATGTAAACTCAGTTTTTAATCCGAGTGTGAGGATTGTTGCATGTCCCAAATTGGCTGCACTTCTCCTGAGCATGTTCTAGTCTTAAAGCAGCTCAGCCTTTAATGTCCCTCCCTCCCCTTCACTTCAGTAATAACACAGAGGAGCCGTCTGGACAACATCACTGTCACACAAGCCTTCGTTAATGCAGTATTCCCTCTGCTTTTATGATGCCGCGTGTCATAAACGCAATGCTTGTCTCTTCACATTGATTTCACAGTCACATGGGTTTATGTGTGATATCCAAGCAACATGAAAGATGTTGTGCTTTTAATTTTCCTGCCCACTGGAGCTGAATTGTGGTTCAGCGGTGTGCTCGCAGTTACATCATTCTTACAGATGATTGGTGTTTTCCCCCTGATTTAATCCAACTATGTGTATTTGATGAAGTAGCCTTCCCATGACCGGTTCAGATGAGTATGTGAGCATGTTTCTTCCTGGATGTTGGGTGAACATGCCCACTTTTGGTCGATCCACGTGTCTTGCAGTGTGGTCCCTCCATCTCTCTCTCCCCTGTTGCTCATCGGTTGCCTGGCAATCAGGATTAAATATAGGCCAACACTCTCCAAACTTTCCATCCTCTCCATCCAAAGCCTTTCTGTCTTCTCCACTATGCTTTCACTCTCTCTTGCCCCCAATCCTCCTCCTCCCCCTCCTCTTTCTCCTCTCTCTCTCTCTTTCTCCTTCCCCTTGCCAATTCCCCTTGGTGGGGACTTTAGGGATTTCGGATGAAGAAATGGAAAACATTCCTCAAACTGCTGTTGTCAAAGGCGATTTCCACAATGAGTCACTTGATGACCCAGTGAAGGAGTCTGCTGGGAGGCAGTGTGTGCACCCTCGGAGGGCGCGAGAAGTGCCCTCTGTTCATTCAGCTTGGAGCACCCACTTGTTCAGAGGGACCCCCCGCCCCCTGCTGCCACTGAACACTGCTTTTTGGCTCGTGAGCTTCTGGCTCTGCGTTGTATTACGAGCCCCAGCTGGAGCT